TAACTTTTGAAAATGTTCCGGAAGGTCTGACACTTTTATATATATCTTAAATTAAAGCTAATGTAATATACTTTAATTTGAAAAAAAAAAATTTGACCTCTGGACTTGTCTTCACGGCGAAAATGGCTACCGAATGCTTTTTTCGTGTGAAAATTCTCGATTTTATTATTTATATTATATTTAACTTTATAATGCTATAACTTATTGAAAAGTTTATGGATCTACACAATTTTTTTATGACAAATAATATTTTTTAATAAACCCTGTTTCATTTACCATACTTTATCTTTATCGAGATATTAATAAGGAACCAGCAGATCAAGTAGCTTTTGGAATAAAACACCAATTTTTTTAAAATTAAACACTATCTAAAGATTTGCATCGAAGCGTTTATTTTTGATAGTGATTTTAATCACTGTCAGATATCATTTACTTGATCCAACTATGCCACGTCACCACTGTGCCGCGACCCCCCTGTGCTGGGTTTTTTTACTGTGTAATGTAGGCTAGAGAACATTTTTTGCTAAATAGCAAATTAAATATTTGGCTATAAATATATTAATATATTTACAATCGGCTGCTAAAAAATTATATAACTAGTTGTTAAATAGAAAAAATAATAAATAAATAATGAATAGAGAATAGCCAAAAAAAATACTTAAAAATTTTTTTAATTGAAATTAAAATATATAATGACTGATTGTATATTTGAACATTTTTCAGTAAAATATTCACTGAATATGTTCATATAGAAGTAGAACACATCTAAGTGACAACTCATACATAACATTTTATTCTTTTTTTTTTTAATTTTAATTCTAATTAATTTATATATGTGTACGTGTGTGTGTATTTATATTACTTAAAAATAAAGTTGTACAACAAAGTTTATAAATATAATTGGCGTCTATTATGTATATAATTTCAAAATGTATGATGAAATACTAGAAAGGACTTTACCCTTTGTTGTAATGATCTTTAAACTTCAACGCTAAAACTAAGATTAGCCGATCGATGATAAATTTCAGATTTCTCTAAAATAAAATTTATGACACATGTATTTCAAAGAATATACACTAATATTAATACCGTACATAGGTTAAATTAATCAACATTTAACTTATTGTTATATTACATACGTGTATTAAATATATCAATTTCCTATATTATAAGAAGTTGATTATTGCGTCAGATATACAGTATCATAATAGTTAATAAACAGTAATTTCATTCCATTACTTATTTTATTAAATTATTTTTACAGTTTGATAATTACTGATGAAGTGTTTAATTAAGAATAAGAGTGTTCAATTTTAAGAGGGGATAGTACGACCAACAAAAAAGATCAATGAATGAAATAATCAATTGTAGTATAATTATAGTATACCATATTATGATATGGTAATTGTATAAAAATATATGTAAAACACTATTTTTCCCAGACTAAAGAAAATTGAAATTAATATCAAAGACGTAAATTAATAATTATTGATTACGTAACCTTATACAATAAATATGTTACTCAAGCCTTTGAAGTGTGTCTATGTAATGAAACATCTTACTATAATTTTTTACAAGGCTAATGTAATGTGCATTTTATTTGAGGTAAACATATTTTGCTTATTTTTTCCTAGACTGTCTTTAATTTATACGTAAATTAGGTTCAAATGGACAGTAATATTGTGATAGATTGATTGCTTGGATTTGGATTAACCCAATCTAACGTATACAATAGAATATAAATAAAATAGGTTGTTCTGTGCTATAAGTATTAATTTATCTCAACATTTTGGCCTATATTTTATAAATAGTTATGTAATATTGAATTAAAACATGTTGTTTTGTTAAAAAAAAAAATTACTTGACTTCAAGTCGCCTAACATAATATAATATTTGTTCATGAATATTTAAATATTTATTAATAATATAAACTTCAAATTCATATATTAAATGTGTAATGTGTACGTGTTTTTTAATTGGGAGACGAAAAATTAAAAATCATAATAGTAGCATATCCAGGAGGATATGCCCACTATACGTCGTAATTCACACTCAATGCCTGAAAATAACAAAAAAAAAAAGGTTACTACAATTGTTTTTATAAATATTATAAAATAGAATACAATAGAAAAAGGAATGTACTAATAATTTATTTGATCGTTGCCTCACTTAAATAGGAATCGAAGATAGCAAATAGTATTCATGTCAATTTTATTTAATTTAATGAATGTTTTTCACATATTCAAAATTCAATTTTCTAGTTGAACTTGTAAATAAAACCTCCTGGTTTAGTTAATCAATAGACTTAATAAGCCTAATCAATTATTGAAAGACTTAATAAATATACTTCATCAATAACTTGATATGGATTAACCTAACCTTCGATACATAGATCTTATTATTGTTTATTAATAAATGTTAATACGATAACAATTAGTCATTATTAATTTATAATGGATGGTTTTGGCGTGACTTTGATTAGATTAATAATTTCATAATTGGAGACTTAACCGATTAAAATGATTCTTGTTTCATTCTTTCTAGTCGCTAGTGATAGTGTAGTCGTTCGTATCATGCCATAAAGTGATAACGCGCAAAGAACTGGACATTTCTTATCACACTTTTTAAATGATTAAAATTTGTATGTTGTAACTTAAATAAAATATATTTGATACTTGTTTGAATATCGAATAGTGCTTATTACTTGTGTTATGTAATCGGTTGCGTTCTTCGGTGTCCACATGTTAAGTGATGGTCAGTCATAGATTCATTTAAGTGAATAAAATTAAATTACAAATGTTCAGTCTTCCAAGAAATTCATTAGTTTAAACAAAACAAAAAACTAAAATATTTAGATATTTTTGTATATATTATTTTTTTTTGATGGATTATTCAATACCAATAAAGCCATCTAAAATTGATATCTTCTGGGAGGCATATTTGAATTGTAAAGCAACTGAAGGAACTACACTCAAAAATGATTTTGTATGTATTTACAGTAAAGTAATAAATAAATATGATGAACCAACTGTATTAATAAAACAATAATTTCGCATTTTGTTGAGTTTTTGTTTATAAAAATTCATTGTTTCTTTAGAAAATTGCTTGGTTTGACCTTTTACTTTCTGAAATATTGCTTGTTTATGATAAGACCAAAAAAATACCTGAAGACATTCCTAAAGGAAAGTAAGATAAATGCTCATTAAAATTAAATATTGTCTATCTTTATATTTTATTACATATTTCACTAAAATTTGATTATAACATTCTTGTTCACAATTTTGTTAAAATAACTTCAATAACTATTATTTTTAATATTACTTTTCTATTTACCAAAATAAGAAACAAATGTGGACAACATTTTGTTTATAATAAAGATGATAAATTATTATTGGTTCTTAATTTAAAACTCTTTATGAAATGGCCAACAATATTGTTTACATATATCATTTTTAAAATACTAAATGTTTCAATATTTGATTCCTTAATTAATTTAAATAATTTTTTTGATCAATAAAAAATTAAGTGTTATAAACTAAATTATTTATTTATTGTTAAACTATATTATTGATTTCTATTTATTTATCATATACCACTCAATTACTCAGAAAATAAATACAATATTAAAAAAAAAAAAATGATGTTATATTTAGTTCTTGATTTATTAGCTGTTAATTAATTTTTGGCATCATCCATTTTAACCTATGTCTACTTTATTTTTTTTTGAAACATATATTTAACTAGCTAATAAAATAGAAATTGATCTATTTAAGAAAATTATATTAACTTTTCAAATAATTTTTTTTAAGTAATTAACATTTTTATACTTGGTCAGGATTAAAAGAGTACAGCCAAAACATTTCTGATGATTAAATACTCATACCTCCTCTAGTCCATACCTTAAAATCACCATAATTTCTAAAGTACCAATCCAAAAGTTATTATCGACAAATTATTTAATTAAAACTAATTTAAAAAATTAAAGTTGAAATAAGTTAATTAAAGATGATGCTAAAAAGTTATTAATAGCTTATAAATCAAGAAATATATGTAACTAAAAAAAGAAAAACATTTTTCAATATTGTACTTATTTTGTGATTTATAAAGTGGTTTAAGAATAACATATATTTATGTAATAACCCTGTATATACTTTATCAAAATATTATTTTCATCATGCGCATTATTTCATGTACTAAATTTTTTATTTAAATTAGTAAATAATTTGTTATTTTAACTGTTATATCTTTTAGTGTGACAAATGCATTAGTTGGCCAATTATTGTGTGATATTGACAGTATATGTTCGATATCTGAGGAAGAAGATTTTTCTTGTTTGAAAAAATATATTTTGAGTGATAGAGGATGGAGATGTCTTACAGTTTTACATTTATTGGGCACTCAAGTAAGTTATTATTAAGTATTTATGATTGAGCTGTTTATTTCTTATTTATTTTTTATTCAAAAACTTCAAAAAAATTTAATTTCATATACATTAAATATGAATTTATTGGTGACATTTTTTTAAATTTTTATTTGGAAACTATGTTTATGTTTTGAAAACTTGTTATTGATTCCACTATATTGTTTAGTATTATACATGTTTAAATGTATTTTTCTTATGAAGAATAATTATTATTGTTCTATTTATAATTTTTGTTTTAATTTAACTTAAAATAAACTTTCCTATTTTGTATCTAAAAGCACTGAATTAGAATTTTAAAGACAGTTGTCTTTGCTGGGAGCTGCATATAACTTAAATATTTTATTTTTGATAATAAATCCCTGAATTTATATTCATATTAATTTTAATTTATTAAGAGCAGAATATTTTGTAATTATAAATTTGTCCAATTAACCTATTAACCCAATAGGAAGTGATATATCTATTTTCTATGGCTTTTTAGATGCTGCACATTATTTGAATTTTATTGGTGGACACTTCAGATCATAGAAATTCTGCTTAAGTTGTGTATTTTACTGACCTGAGTCAAAGTAGATAATTAATCATAATTTTTCCATAGACTTTTAAAATTTATTTTTATAAAATATATTATTGTGTATCAGCTAGTAAGCATCACAGATTAATGTCTCATGTTGTGTAAATAATTCATTGTGTGGATATTTTTTTTGTATTCCTTTTATTATTATATTTTATTGTATTTATGTTTAGGATATTCAACAGCTTAAGGAATTTTCAAATGTTTTAATTTCTATGTACAACATGTTTAATGAAGATACTGATGCCAAAATAATAAATGATTTATCTCTTACTCAAAATAATTTGTTTCCTTTTGAATCTGATGAATTTAATGTAAAACTAGATGACTTGATAAAATTAACTAAATTCCAAGGAATTAAGTCAAAATCTAAAAATTCAGTTTATGATCGTTCAAGTCCAAGTTTACCCAGATCACGCCGAGTTAGTGCTGTTTCTGCAAATAGGTAAAATCATGCTCTAAATTAGCAGTGTACAAAAATATATTAATGTGTTTTTAATTTAGATTCAAAAATCAAAGTAATGATGTTACAAAAGGAAATAAAGTAGAAGAATCTAGTGAGTCAGAATGCCTCACTATGTCTGATTTACCTAAGTCTAATACTTTAAGAATTCGATTTAACCCTATGGACTTTGATTATTTTACATCTGTTGTTCGCAGTGAAGATGAACATGATTCTGTCGACGGAGAGTATATAAGTTCTAATAAGATCAATAGTGTTGATCCTGGTTATTTCTTTGACGATCATATGAAAAAAATTACTAATTCTTCATCTACACCATGTAAAATTAAGTTATTAATTCTTGATCTTCTTACCCAAATATTATCTAAAAATACTCATCCTCAAATAAAATGCACCTTAAAAGATAGTCATCAGTTTGTACCATTCATTATAATGAAATTTTCTTTGGACAATATTGCAGTTTTACAATTTGATCCATGCAATTTGTATGATAATAAAATATTATCGAAAATGTTATACAACATGGTTTTATCTGTAAAACAACTCCATCTTTGTCCAAATATTAGTGAAACAATTACTCAAGAAGGTATCATACCATTACTAATTCAAATATTAGAAGGTTTAGTAAACAAAACAAGAGCATCTGAAATTAAAGAAAATGTATGTCGTCAAAAAATTCTTTTTGGAGTTCTATGTACTTTACTTATGGTTTTTTCAATGATGTTATTTGAATGTTATTCCTACAATAGTCATTTTCATTTTCTAAAACAAATTAGAGTAATGCTTGATTGTCAACGTGGAAAGTTAATAGAAAAATGTATTTATGTAATGTTATGTGTAAGAGGAACAGAAATTTCAACAGGTCATATAAAAATAGTAGTAAACTTGCTTGGTTTATTGGTATTGAACATGAAAAAAATTAGGCAACGCATGGTACATGTACAAGAATGTAGTAAAGTTAGACATAGACACTGTACCAAAATTATGATGCATCATCATGATAAGCTATTTGGAGCAGTGTACGTTAGTAATTTAGTTTCATCACAAGACATGAGTCAAAATTGCTGTGTTACTTCACTATCTATGATTTTAATACGCATTTTAATTAATTTAGAATGTTCAGATAAAGAACTTTGGTTTTATTTAGTAAAAACCATAGGTGTTGCAGGAACATGTTGTTGTATTCCATTTTCAGCAGTTTTACCTAAGTTGTTCAAAGTAATTAGTGAAAATGACAGTAAAAAAAGTTCAATGATTTTACAGTTGTTAGAAAAAACACTATATAGAGATGCAGGTGCTGCATATAAAGACAGTTCTTGTAAAGTGTGTGATGATGAAAATAATATAGTTTCATATGAAAAGAGTAAAATAAAAAAAGAGCAAAAATGGTCTACATTTGAAATTTTTAGAAAACTGTTGAATGGTCCAAATATGAAGTTATCACAATCAATTAGTTTACATTTGTCTAAAAATGCTCCGGTTTTTATAAAAGAAGTTCAACATATACTGTTGTTTCGTATATTTTATCCAGTGTTTAAAACTAGTGAAAAATCATACATTAAAAACAAAAATGAAACTGACCTTGCTCTTTTAAATGTTTCTTTAAACATTTTTAATATATTATTAGTATCTTTGGATTTCACTTCTGAATTTGATTCCATGAGTGGAGTGAAATATTTAAAAGAACTTATAACAGATCCAGTGTTTACAAAATTATGCTGCAATGTATTAGAAACCAAAATTATGACCAAGATGTGGACATTAAACCAGATAAAATCTACTCCTATTTTAATAACAGACTCCCAAGCAGAAGATCTAAATGTTATTGTAAATGCTGTGTTTAATTTATTAGAGTTATTCTGTGGATATGTGATGAAACCACATCCAATTGAAATTAATTTGAAATTTAAGTACAGTTTATCAGTGTTGTCTGATGTATTACATGATGAAATAATTTTTGACTCAATAACCAAATACCAAAATTATAATAGTGTAATATCTAGGTTGGGAGATTTATTTCAATGTTTAGCTCGACTTTCGCTGACATGCCCTAGGATTAGAAGTTATTTACAAGTTTCATCTGTTATACATCAATATGATACACTTTTATCAATAGTATCTTTACTGTTAGTTAGACCAATAATTGTTGAAGGTAATTAAAAGTTATATTAATTAATTCATTTATTATGACTAAACATTTATTCAAGTATATACAAGTGGTGCATGTTGTTTTGACAAAATAAATAACTTTGGATCCAGCAAATATTTTGCATATATTTTAATAATATAATAAAAATTGATCACTCGTGGCAAATGAATTAAGTAAAATTAAAACTATATTAAAAATATTATTAATTTAAAAAACTAAAAAATTTTAAAAATATTAAACTCAAAGCCACAAAAAATTAATGAAAAGTCGCGGATACGTATTTCGGAAACAATGTTACCATTATCAACGCTAAACACATACTGACATATTTTAATAAAGTCATTTTTTAGGATTTTTCTTACAAAATATTTTTATAGATTGATAATAACTTTAGGATAAATACTTATTGAGTTACAAACAGTTTAATCATTGAAAGCGTGTGTAGTTTGGCCTGATGTATATTTATAATGCATTCTCCATTCACATAATTTACTCACTCTATGTATTAAAGTGGTTTTAACTCAATAAGTACTTATTCATAAGTTGTTATCACTCAATTAAACATTTTTTAAGAAAAGAACTAAACATTAGTTATTTTAATATTAAAAAAAAATGTTTTTCTTAGGAAGGCAAGTAATAAAAAATATGTTTTTACCATATTCAAATCTGTAAAAATTATTTTTAAAATATTGGCACAAAATATTTATGATCAAAAGTTATTTGATATATCAAAACATCGTTGACTACCTGTATATATATATATTGTATTTATAATATACAGGGAAAAATGAAGTAGCAATTGAAGATAAGAATGTTGTAAATTTAAAACTTATTGAGTGTTTATTAGTTTTAAACTTATCAATTTTTGAAAATAAAAGTAAGATCAGTATAAAAATGTTTATTGAATTATTATGCTAATTTTAATAATTTGATTACAATGTTATTTTTAGTTACATTAGATACTCACGTAAAAGACTTATTGATTGAAGCATTATCTAAAGGTCATATTGGAATCAAACAAGTGTGTAGTTCATTAATAAGATGTGCTACAGTATCAACAAATAGACATAATACCCAATGTATTACTACTGCACTGTCATTAACAAAGGTTTTAAGATATTTTTGACAAAATATCATTAATAATTTAAGCATTTATTTATTTATTGAATGTGTGACAACTTAAAGTATTTGGCTTTATTTACAGTTGTTAGATAATGAAACATCTGTTAAAACTGAATGGATACCTTTTGATGATGATAATTTTAATTCTGGGGATGAAGGATATGATGCTGATATTGAGTTTCAAAGTTGGATGAATATTGATTCTTCTGATAAGTATGATTTTAAGTATTTTTTTTCCGTATATTTTGTAGTATGAGTTGTTATAAATAAAACTTGTTTAATCTATAATTATTAGAACAGCAGATGAAGTCATTTGTCATAAAATTTATCACTCAGATACAAAAAGAATGGATATCATGCACCCAGCCCTTTGTACTTTAGCTGTTGACTTGATGACTTTTGCCAAGTATAATTGATATTAATAAATATTTGTAATTTGAAAAAAATAAAAATGTATTTTTATTTTTATTTCTTTTTTTATTAGAAATCTTGATAACACAGAAGGAATTATTTATTGTTTACAACGATTAATAGCTATATGTAAGGACAATGATGAAAGTTGTGTAAAATTAGCCAAAGAAGGACTTATTTTTAAATTATTAGGTTGTATTAAGGACTATATTATTAATACAGAAAAAAATAGTCTTTGTGAGTTTTATTTATCAATGTAACTAATATATAATGTAACTAATGTCATTTCTTAGGTTAATATTAAATATTGTTTTTTAACAGATGATACAATTTACATTTATATGACGGAACTTATAGCTTTAATGGCATGCCATTATATGGAAAAGCATGAACTTCAGACATATTTGAATATGTTTAAAAAAAATAATCCACCATTAGTAAAGAATTAATCAAAATTTTATTTTAAATATACTCATTTTTGTCTTTTGTTTAGAACTTGATACTTTTACCTTTAATGTATTTAATGGATCATATACAAGTATTGTGGCAACCACATTACAGTCTTAAGTTTCCAACTGAAGTAATATCAGATATACCTATTAGTGATAGACCAGCTGAAGCATTAGCTATTTTGACCAGAGAAAACCATACAGAAATGAGTATGAAAATTTTCAATATAATTACTAGGATTAAACTAAAACTGATATTGATTATTTCTCATTATATTGGAAAATAGGTTGCAAATAAAATCTCTATTAGAACTTGTTATTAAAAGATATTATTTTTATTAAATCTCATAAAAATTTATAAAGATTTTATAAATTTAATCCTAATAATTTATAACAGTTGTGTAAGTTTAATTTTTGGACCATTATCTTTAAAAATATAAGCATATTAGTATATCATCAAAATGATTAGATCCAAGTGCAGTTATCTTCATAGCATAATCTTTAATTGTTCTAAATTATATGTTAGTGAGTAATAAGAAGCTAAATTGAATATATATTTTTAATCTAAACCTTATTAAAATAAATGTTAGATTGATAATCAATCTAAATTGCAATGTCTGATATCTTACTTTAAAAGTTGTCTATTTATTTCTGATATAAATTATTATTAATAGTATTAATTGTTTTAATATGAATCGTTGGGAAATAAATATATGAAAAACAATACTCTATATCATAACTTTCCAAGTAACAAATGAAGAATGAAACTTATTAACCCCTGTTAAATAACAATTTATATTTTATTTTTTATAATATTTTGAAAACTGATATATTTAATGGATATTAAATTAATTATCACCAAAACTTGATACTTAAGCATTTTCAAAATTTGTTAGCTAACTTCTCAGGTATTTAACTCTCTGAAAAATCATAGGTATATACAGTACCTCAAGAACATATTTGTTCTAAGGGGTAAGTGATACCTTCCCGTAATTAAATTCTTAATTAAGGAACTTAAAAACCAAGCCAATTAACTATACTTTTTTTCAAATTTTTTCTACTTTGGAAAGTATTAATTTTTTAAATTCAACTATATTATTATTATTTAAAAAAAGTAATATTTAAAAAATAATATTAGCATAATTGAATTAAAAATATAAATATCTATTTATCATTAATGTACTTAAAATGACTAAAACAAACTTTATAAATGCTTAAGTTTCAAGCATAGATTAAAAAGGAAATTGTTCCAAAGACTTAAAATAAAGATTAAGTAACCATACAATTTTTTGTTTTTGGAAAAAGAAGTTATTGGCTAATTTCTAATAATATATTACCAATTGATCATTAATAGTATTATTAATAAAATACAAATAAGAAAAAAAAGATTATTAATATTGTTTGTAAATGCTTATAATCATTATTGTTAATACAATAAATGTTAAGTTTTATTTTATATTATTAGATTTATATTTGGTGAACCTACCAGAATTAACCGTCCCCCTTTTGCCGATACCGCTCTATCTATCTATCTATCTTATCTATCTGCTCTTCAAATATTTTATTATCCTCTTCCTGGTCTGTTTTGTGTGATTCTCATGGTAGTGATCACTATCCTATTATAATTTGTCTTTCCGGAAAATTAACTCATTCCTCAGGTCATATTGACAATAACTCGCTTCCTGATAATCCTAATAGTTTCTCGTTTAATTTAAACTCAACTGACTGGACTACTTTTTCTCTTCTTATCGGTACCTTTCTTGATTCGTGGTCTCTATCATCTTCTCCTATTGATAACTACAATAACTTTGTTGATATTTTACTGAGAGTTGCCAAACTCTCCATCCCAACCAAACGTTCATCTAATAAACGTTTTAATTCTTCTCCCCCTTGGTGGAATTCTTCCTGCACAATAGCAGTCAAAACCAGATCCTTTTATTTCTAAAAATATAGAGCGTCAGGTTCTCTTTATGACTTTATGTTATATCAAAAATCTTCATCAAATACCACCAAAGTTTTGAAAAAAGCTAAGAAAGACTCATGGGTTAATATGTGCTATAAGTTACATCCTTCCTCGTCTATCTCTGAATTTTGGGCCTTAGCTAATAAATTAAAAAAATGTATAATCCGCCCCGTATCAGCTAACAATAATGACTGGGTTGACAACTTTTGCGATAAAGTGGCACCACCATACGTTCCTAATCTTGATGAATCTAATTCATATTTCGCAACTCATGTGCCACATAATAATACCAACTTCCTTTCATCCCCTTTCAGTCGTTATGAACTCTCCTTAGCTATTTCCTCTAGAAAATCCACTGTAGCTGGCTTAGATAGTATTTCTCCTTTAATGCTCAAACACCTTCCTATTAAAGCATTTGATATACTCTTATCTATTTTAAATGATTTATGGCTTAATAATATCATCCCTGAATCCTGGAAAACCTTTAAAGTCATTCCTACTCCCAAACTATGGAATGTTTATCTTCCTTAGTTGGTTCTGTTTATTTCGTTTTGTAACTGCCTTTTTACTGCAGCTGCCTTTGTAGATATTCGTGGTGCTTTTGATTCTGTTCATATACCTTTACTTATTTCTCGTCTTCTTTCCCACAATATTCCTATTGTGATGTGTAAATTTATATTTTATTTATTTCATTGTCGTAATCTCCATTTTAACTCCCCATTTGGACCTACCTGTTATCGAACCACTTATAGAGGACTTACTCAAGGTAGTTGTCTCTGTCCAATTCTTTTTAACATTTTAACTGCAGATATAAGCATCGCTCTTTCATCATCCAACAATCATTCGAGTTTATTTTACGCCGATGATATTATCATTTTTTCTTCCCATAAATCACTTGAGATTGCTGCCTTTAACATTAATATTGCTCTCCAAACTCTCTCTACGTCTCTTCAGTTATCTTTTTTTGACTCTGCTCCGGAAAAAAGCAAAGCTATTGTTTTCACAAGAAAACACATTCTTCAAATTCCGAATATTTATCTTGATAATGTTAGTTTATCCTACTATGATTGTGTCACTTACCTTGGCCTTAAGCTTGACCAAAAACTTCGTTGGATGCCACATTTTAAATACCTGATTTCCAATTTATCACGTTGGTCTAATTTGTTACGTTCTATAGCGGGGACTTGGTGGGGCTCCCATCCCTCTTCACTTCTTCTTGTATTTAAATCTCTTATACGTTCCAAAGTAGATTATGGATCTTTTCTATATTCCTCTGCCTCCACCGTGCACCGTAATAAGCTTAATTCCCTTATGACTTCTTGTTTACGTACTTCTTAGGCGCCGTTTACTCTACCCCAAATATAAGTTTAGAAGTGGAATGCGCTTGTCCCCCCATCGAAGTTCGTTCTCGATTTCTGGCTTGTAAATTTCTTACTAAACAGTTATCCTATTCTGCCAACTCAATATTTTATAATTTTCATTCTCTATGCGCAGTTTAGCGCTATGTTCCCAAAACTCTACCTTTACTTGCTTCAATCTCTTCGATTTTGACTCCGTACCTTAATATGATAATCACATCTTTAAATTGTTTGCCTATTTATGATGTCTCCTTCCTGGCTCTTATTTATTGCCCACCTATTCACTTTAACTATCACTTTCTTTCTTACTCAAAACTGCAATTACAATCTCTCCCTATTAATTTTGTTAATAATCTATTCAATGAGTTCTTATTCTCTAATTTCTCCAATTATTGTCTTATATTTACTGATGGTTCAGTAAGCTCTAATTCTGCTGGTTTCTCGTTCTTTATTCCTAGTCTTAATATTAAATTCTCAGATATTCTCCCTTCACAATCTTGTTCTTTTACTACTGAGTGTTATGTCATTTCTTCGGCCATTGAGCTTATTCAATCCTTCAATATTTCTAATGTTTTAATAATTACTGACTCTTTATCAGTCCTTTCTTCTCTCTCTTCTAATTCATTCAAAAAATCCAGATCTTTTCTTATTATTAAAATAAAATCGTTAATTTATAATCTTTTCTTAGCTAATACAAAAATCGAATTTTTATGGTGTCCTAGTCATGTGGGTATTTTTGGTAATGAGGAGGCTGACCATTTAGCCAAACTTACCAAATTCATTACCCGTTGTCCAACCCTCAATATTCCATCATCTGACTTCGTTACATCCCTTAATAAGACGATATTTCTAGCATGGCAAGAACATTGGTCTTCTCCTTTCTCTCTCATCGCAGCTTGGCACAAATCAATTTCACCAACTATTCCAAATCATTCTTGGTTCCATAAACTTCCTCTCTCCCGGTTCCATATATTATCCTTTTCTCGACTAAGACTTGGTCATAATCGCCTTCCTTTTCATGCGTACAAAATGTCCCTTAACAATTCTCCTTTCTGCCCCAAACATGACGATGAAGTTCTCTGCGATTTTCCTCATATAATTTTTGACTGCTGTGCATTTGAAAGTAATCGTTCTATTTTATTTAATAATTTATCTCATCTTAATATTTCTCCTATTAATTGTTACACTATTCTTAACTCAACTTCTCTCAATGTAATATCTATAGTTATTTCTTTCATTCATTCAGCTGGTTTTTTTATTTAACGATGTTTACTGTAATTTTGTTGATGTAAGATCAATTGTACTATTTTTATTATTATTATTATTATTTTTTTCTTTTCTCATTTTATTTAATTGTTAAGCTATAATAATACTTTGTATTGAAAGCTAATAAAAAAAAAAAAAAATAGATTTATATTTATTAAGTTATTCAAATAAACACTTATGTATATGACTTTAGGACTTTTAACACCGTGGTCAATTTTTGCTATGAGTCTACCTATAAATACAGATTTAGGATGGTCAATTTTATCAACTGGATTTTCTGTATCATTATGGTTAAATGTTGAACATGTTCATAAATGTCCAAATATCAAATATAACAATTCCCTAGAATCTCTCGGAAAAAGTATTTTATCTATTATAAAATATATAAGTCTATTGTTACTGAATAAAAATTAATAAAAGTTATTTTTTCAGTTCAAAGTCTTAATAAAGACTCTGCTAGCTTAGATGATTTAACCCATTTACTGTCTATTGGTTTTGATGCCATGTTACTGGAGTTCTGGGTAAATCCTAATTCTGATGGACTTATTGCAAGACTATCTAGACCTAATGAAACAAAATTTGATTTACTCTCTGAAGTCAATTTTAGTAATTGTATTAGTTTAAATGCATGGCATCATGTTGCTATCAATACTAATGGTATAAAAAAAGGGGAAAAATATATTGAGGTATATACTTTTGTTTTAAGCTTTTATTAGATTAATTTATATTAGATACTTTTAGATTTCAATTATAGTTGATGGTTTATGTGAAAATAAAGCAAAATTATCTTTTACCGGATTTTTTATTAAAAAACCAAGGCCATCCAACGTCCTCCTAGGGGACACTAGAAAAAATGCTCCTCCTATATCCATAGGCAATATTATGATGTTTAGATTACCTGTATTAACTAAAGAATGTGCTTGTACTTTAGCTGCTTTTGGGCCAGATTTGGAAAATTTAGCTGATTGTTCTAATAATTTGTTAAAACCTAATTTTAGCATGCTCTTTAAAGATACAGTTTACAATTTGAATTTATCATTAAATTCTGGTATGAATTGGAATCAAATATCAAGTCAATGCTATGAAACTATGAAACCTTTACAAGTAATAGATAATTTGGAAATAAATTTATTTTTTTTAATAATTTATTTTAAATAAATCATAAAATAAACTTTTATAGGATGTCATATTGTTAAGTTTTACTCCAAGAGATCCAAATACTGTTTGTTTATATTCACTTACATTGCCTCATCCTACAGGTATTTCATTTTTTTATATAATTAAAAAAAACTAAATTATAAAAATACTGTAATTTTAGGTGCTTTATTTCCTCCTTCACAACCGTTAATGTTTAAAATGGCATTATATGATTTACGAGCTTGCCAAAGTCCACCAATTGTAGTTTCCACAGTTGTTGTTAGCTCAATTAAAGTTCTTAAGCCACATGGATTTTTGACAGCGGTTAATAACTTAGGTGGAATACCATTATTATTGTTTTTGTTAGCTAGGGTAATATCTCAAAACCATTAACAATTAAATTAAATAACTGTTTGAATTTCAGTTAATTTAGTTTAAAAAATTTTAAATAATTATTTTAGGTTTTGGAACTTAATTCCTCCAGTGATGATGAACAAGAAAAAACATTAAAGATTTTATTACATTTCATTAATGTCAACTCAAAACTTTATTCTGAGTTTATTATGCTCGATGGATATAAGTTATTAACAAAAATTTTAACATCCTCAAGAATAAAACCAAATTGTACAATGTTAATGGTAAGTATTTTGTTTTTTAATATTACTCAACAATAAAATTAATAAGTATTTAAAACTTTTTCAGGCTTTATTGGAAGCAGGTTGTAATAAAAAAGGAGCATTTGTCCGTGTTAGTGATGAATGGATTGTTAATAGATTTTATGAAGGAGTTTTATTAAATACATCTTACATCAAAGATATTATTTTACCAAGCTGGAAGATATGGTCAAAAAAGAATAATCAGGCAATCAAATTTCTTTTCAAATTTTTTAAACATCTCTTGTCGTCTAATCATCCTCATAATAAATTTAATTTAAAGCAATTACAATCATCCGAGTTATTAGAGGCTATTTTATTGCAATTGAAGGTATCTTACTAATATTTTTAGCAATTTAAAATTAAAAATATTAATTTAAAACTATGAAATATTTAACTTAAAAATTTGTTTTTTAGCAATAAATTTACTCGGTTAATTTTAATATTTTGTTTAGTGTCAATTATTACTTGAAGATAGTAATGAAACATCTTTATCTAGTTGTGTTCAAAAGGATTTAGTAGATTTTGTTCAAAATTTTTTTGATTTAGACATGAATATAAATTATTTAACTATGATTTTGGATTTTTTAATTGCTGTACATCCAACTTCCAATTTATATTCACCACATTTAAAGTCGTCTGTTTATTTTATTCTCACTCCTCAATCAAAAACAATTTCTGAATCTAGTTACCAAATTTATACTCCATCAGGTATAAAAATAAACATTTCACAATACTTATAATAATTTTATATTAAATCAGTTATTAATAGAATTTTAACATTTTTAATTTTTTAGAATCATGTGAATCTAATATTAACAAATTACATTTGGAAGATTATTCTGAAACAGATTTTTGCAATTCTAATAACACTATGAAATTAAACAAAGAAATATTAAAACTTCAGGTAATTTTTCTTCTTTTATTTTCAAAGAGTATTATCATTTAAAATTAAAATCGTAGAATAATATAACTTTATTTTTAACCTTAAAACAAAATATTTTTTATTTTATTAAAGAATTTATCATAATATAATATTTTTTAAATATTTAGATAGAACAAGATTTAATAAAGAATAGCTACTCTAAAATAATTTTATCCAGAATGAGTGATGAAACTTCTGATAGTAGTGAACATGTCATTCCCGAAGAAACTGGTCAGGATTCAGGAATTGATGGTAGTGTGAAAGATGTTGGCATAGCACTTAATCCTAGTGAAAAAGAAGCATCATGTGATGCTGATGTTCTGGAAGCAGAGATTTATTTTGAATCTCAGGTAATTAACAAAAAAAATTATTAGTTGTTAGTTAAAGAGATTTTTATTATTATTATAATTTTATTAACTAGACAAAATCAAATGAAAACAATCAATTCAAATTAACTGACACAGATAGTAATTGCGAATTTATTGAAGGCTTGTTTTCTATTTTAAGAAATGTACTAATTAACATGCCAAGTTCTATTTCAGGAATAGTTTTAGAAAAAATTTTTAATTTAGAAAAATTTGTTATTTTACTCAATAATCCCTCTCCAAAAATTCGAATCATCATAATAAAAGTAAGTTTTTTTTTATATAATGTATTTTAAATACTAATAATTACATTTTAGATAGTCAATGTATTTTTACAACGCTGTAGTCCTACATATGCAAAAAAATTTTCAATTAAATTTAAAGGATTCTATCAAATGGCTAATGTGTTAGCATTACATCACTCCACTATTGAATTAGTTGATGCATGTGCTGCTTTATTCTCTGGTAGCTATTGGTTACCTTTAGATGAACAACTTCAATGGGATCAAGCTGTTGACATGTCATCATTTAATTTCGCAGCACTGCCATTACTGTTATCACTTTTACCAAAATCTGCTTTTAATATAACATTATGTACCAGCATTATAAATTTCTTTATTAAAGTTATAACAAAAGTAAGTGATTTAATGGTTAATAAATATTTTTTGCCCTTTATTGCATCTTCTCCATCTATTTTGAAATTTTTATTACTGATATAATACTTTGATTTATATGCATATTAATTTATATGTAACCTTATTGTTTAAGTAATATATTTCTTAATTTATAATTTAAAAAATTTTCCCTAATCAAATAAATTTGTGAACTGTTATTATAAGAAAAATTTTCAACATAATTATTGATATAACTATTCTGGATTTTAGGTTCCACAAGCATTGAATATTTTAATAGATTATGGTTTAATAGAATGTTTACTAAAAACATTGTCAGTTATTGCATGCATTTATCCATCATCACAAACTCATACTGATTTGAGTAAACATGAAATACTTATTGATGACATCAATTCACTCATAATAACTTTGATTACTTCTGCTATTCATAGTCCTGGAGTGCAAAATATTCAAGTTAGTATTTAAATAAAATTTTACTATAGTCTAAAATAATATTAAAGTTAAAATTAATTCAATTAAAATAAAATGTTTAGGTAACATATAAATAATTATTATTTTATTAATTAATAATACTGTTAAAAGAGGAAAAGGGATACTAAAAATGAGATGGAGGGTTGTAATTGAATGCTATATGAGGACAGTTGATGTGAGAGATCATGCCAAGTAGAAGTTCAGGATAAGGGTTTATTTAATCCCAACTACTTCGGTAACCCCAAGTAATTAGGAATAAGGCAAGGGAAAAGAAGATAAATTAATAATACTGTTGCATACCTGATTGAAAAAATTTTTCAATTTTTAAATAACTACTATAGAAAAACCATAAATATTAGAAAATAATTTAAGTTTCTCTTCAAAGGTAAACTTATCTTCTTTTCAGGAATTATATTTATATACAATTTACTAAATTCAGTAGACATAGATAATTATATCTTATTTAAAAAAAAAGTTGTTATTTATGAAGAGCCTTTAAATATTTTATACTAATTAGCTCCATATAAATTGAAAATTTGAGTCATTGTAATTTAGTTTAGAGTAACATTGTTGTTTTTGTAACATTTTTTATTTGGTTTTAAAATAAACAATAGTAATTTATTAATTTAATTACATACTCTTATACAAATGTGTTAAACATATAAATTATACTTATTTTTAAAATAATTAAATAAAAATATTCTAGTTGTTAAAAAAATTAAAATATTATTGATATTTAGATTTTAAATGATGCTGTTTATCAATGTCGGTATTTACAAAATGCAGAATTACAAACTTCGACTGAAGGGTATAAATCTAATTTGATTTTGAGAGAAACTCAGCGTTTTATTCTAGAATCAGGAATGGATACTATTCAAGAACTAATACAAACACAACCACCCCCTGCGCCTGCTTTATCACGTTTAAAAAAAAATATAAGCTCAGGTAAATTCTTATTTGTTTAGTATGTTATTTTATTTAAATATCCTTGAACATCTGTAGTATTATCATTGAATCAGTCAAAAGATACTAATGAATATACTTCAATATCAACTAGTGAATCTAGTTTATTTAGTGTAGCTTCAAGTTTTTATCGTCAAAAAATTTTATCTCGTGCAGAGTTAATTGAAAGGTACAAAAATATTATCAATCGGTCAGTTGAGTTTATTTTTGCTCCAAGTAAGTAATTACATATTAATATTATATAATATAATTTACATATTTTAAACATTTTATTTACTTACTTATTTTAGATGTTGATTGTAGTGATGAAACAACACCTGAAGTTCCATTTGCGTGTCATTTATTAAATACATTCATGTATAATCTTAGTAGTATAATTACAAGTTCAAGAGAACAGAGACAAACACCGTGGTTATCTATTTATAGTGCTGCTCGAGATATAATAAGGTAATTTTTAGAATAGAAAATTTATTTTATTAACTCTTATTCTTAGACAAACAGTTTCTGTAGATGCACAATTTAAAAAAAATTGGTTTTGATATATCATTTTATAAAAAAAATTGTAATTACTCACAGAATGTAATTAAACAAATTTTCATGGCATTTTTTTATTAATTTGTGAATTGAATTATTTTTACAAAATTTTAAAATATATTTATTTATATTTTTCTACTTCTGTTAAAATTAGCCATTCAAAACTCAAGATAAAAAAAATTTGAAAAAAATAGTAAAATATAATACATTTTTTTAGCTTCGATGTGAAGCTGAAAAGGTATTAATTTTACCATGATGTTTTTTTTTTTGTGTTTGTTGCCACTTTTTCTCAACTCTCACTTGACCAATTTTGATAAACAATCTCTCAAAGATCACAAATCATATCTAGTTGGAAGACATTAACCTTAAAAATTAAAAAATTTCTCTCGTTCTTCGTAAATGGGAGAAATTTAAAAAAAAAAATACAATTTTTAAAATCGGTAAATTTTGTCATTATTTTTCAATTTTTTTTCTTAAAACAACCATAACTTTTTCAAAAATTAACAAATCATCTTAATTTTTTTTCATATTGAAACCTTAGATATTTCGTTTTCATTTTATATTATTTTTTTGAAAAAGTTTAAAAAGTTTTTTTAAAATAGGCTATTTATTAGCTTCCATGCAAAGCTGAGAAGGTATTAATTTTACTAAGATGTGTTTTTTTTTTTTTTTTTTTGTGTTAATTTTAAAAATCCTATTTCTTTCAATGATACGTCAAAAGATCACAAATCGTATCTAATCGAAGACATTACCCTCAAAAATTGAAAAAAAATCCCTCGTTCCCCGTAAATGGGTGAAACCTCCAAAAAAATTACAAATTTAAAAAACGCTAATATCGAAATTTTTTCAATTTTTTTTACTTAAAATTGCCATAACTTTAAAAATAACCGAATCAACATAATTCTTTTTTTTATAGATGCATGATATCTTTACCTATCATTTGGTATATTTTCTTTTTATATCTGACCCTTTACCTGCCCACAGGGGAGAATTCAAAATGACAACTTTTTCAAAAAAATTAATTTTTTTAACTTGACTTTTGAAAATGTTCCGGAAAGTCTGACACTTTTATATATATCTTAAATTAAAGCTAATGTAATATACTTTATCATGGAAAAAAAAAATTTCGGACTTTATTTTATCTTCACGGTGAAAATGGCTACCAAATGCTATTTTTGTGTGAAAATTTTCGATTTTATATTTTATATTATATTTAACTTTATAATGCTATAACTTATTGAAAAGTGTATGGATCAACATAATTTTTTTTTGAGAAATAATATTTTTTAATATTCCCTTTTTCATTTGACATACTTTATCTTAATCAGGATATTAATCCACTAATTTTTTAAAATTAAACACTATCTAAAGATTTGCATCAAAGCGTTTTTTTTGATAGTGATTTTAATCACTGTCACATATCATTATACTTAATCCAACTATGCCGCGACCCCCCTGTGCTGGGTTTTTTTTTATTTGTTCTATTACAATTATTATAAAAAATAATTCTAGTTTTAATTAAAATAACCATTTTTTTTTTCAATATTTTAGAATTCAAGGTGCTAATTTATTAGTGTGGCTTTTAAGTCCTCAACAAATAAACAGGATTCGGATATTTGCTGTAGAGTCTTTAACAAAAGAACTAAGAACAAGAGAATTTTTCAAAAATGTTATTTACATAAATCCACAGGTGAACATTTTTTAAAAATGATAAATTATACCAATTATAGAATATCAAAATTAGTTTAAATGACTATTGGTTTTTTAATGTATAATATAGTTTTTTTTTATAGCTTAATATATTAAAATAAAGTTGATTGATTTTTTTAAACAATTATGTTATTAATATATAATAATTCATTAAATTTTAGTGAACAGTATTATTATTATATAAAATGTTATACATCTAAATCTAAAATGGATAGCAAGACTAAGAATTGACTGTTAGTAATAGAAAAGTATTTGAAATATTAGAAAAAGAAAGTAGTCTAAAATTCAAATACATAACACTATAAAAATTATTACAATATTATTAGTTTTAGCTATTAAAAAGGTAGAAAAGAACCCCCATGCGCTCAAACCTATAGGTCCATTGTGCTTACTTCATACCAAATTTAAGTATTTCAATTTCTTTACCTAAATGTTTCCACCAAAGCATTGTTACTATTGTTTAGTATACCAATGTTAAGTTTAGTTAATTGAAAAATAATATTGATAATATTTTTATTTGATGACGTAGTTTTATGTCCATTCCTTATACTGTATAATAGTGACAACTTTAATTTTTCAAATGGCAACACATAATTAAATAGCTTATTTATTAGACAATGATCTAATTATTAAAATAACTGATGTAGTTATCAACCAGTCATTTTTAGACTAGATTTCAGGTATTTCAGTACTTGGGCACTTCTATTTATATAACTAGACGTTAAAAGTCTCAAACCTCTTCTCACCTGTAAAAACGTTAATAATTTTTGAAATTGGATTGAATCATTATCTAATAAATAAGCTATACATATGGTTCATGATAAATAAATCAATCTGTATATAAATTGTCCTGATTTAAAATGACCTGCCTGTTTAAATTAAGTTTTGATTTGTAGGTCTTTTAAATTTTTTTTAGGAAATCATTTGTCCATGTTTTCAGATCTTTATATGGCTACTGTATCATATTCACATATAATTTGAAATGAGTCCTACTCTTCTATTCTATACATTCTGCCCAATGTTGATTCTATAATTCCATTGTGTAAAGATGTTTAAGTAGGTGACTATGTTCTGTCAGTAGTCTAGTCAGAGTATTTATTTTATATTTAGTTATTAAGATTCCATTGTAGTAAAACGGGATTTTTAATAAACATATTTGATTATCTGAATACCATAAGTTAACTACATGTTTTCATGTTAATCTCTACATCAGTTTTCATTTAGTCATTTATGGGGTTACTCTATGAGTTCTGGTCCAACATAGGTGTTTTTTACACCTTTCTTTAAAGCCTGTGTCATTACACACTACTATGTCCTGGTACCTTATACTAGTGTAACTTTATTTAACCTTCATTGTGATTTTAATGTCCAGATATCTAAGTTGTGGAGTTCTAGTTCTATAGCATGAAATGAACATTTACCTTAGTGCAAAGGAGGTAGTCCGACTAGTGTCTCCAATACTATCATTGTGGTTCTTATTGTTCCAGTAATGGCTATAGCAACCATTCTTGGAATGTGTTTAGGTTCTTTCTTGGTTTTAATGAGTATTGTTCTAGTCCATCAGACCAAGGTTCTATACAAAACTATATTTAATCACTGAATTAATTGCATAATATTGAATTAAAGTCACAGATTTTCCTAAGAGTTCTGCTGCATGATTACAATGTAGCCATAGCTTTTTTAACTCTTACCTCAATATGTAATTTTCATCTTAGCTTTCTGTCTAGAATAATACCTAAATAATTCACTTCTGTCATATTAAGATAATTTCTTATCCAATCAGGTTAAGTGTACCAAGATTTCAAGCCTATTCTTTTCCTGGTGAATATAACTACCTATGAGATAGTGTTCAGCCTTTGCTGTGCAAGTCTTTAATTGTGTTCCAGAAATTTACCCACTATTACTATAAATAAGTGATCCGTATAAGCGTGTGTAGATCAATACTTATTTATTTCTCCAATAAGTAAGTTTAGAACTAGACACTATTGCAAGGGGATAAGACCTTTCCTTGAGGGCATCCTTGTTTAACAATCTTTATTACTTTAGTTATATTTAGCTGTACGAAGTTATAATGTTCTTTGAGCATGGTTTCTGTCCACTTAATAATAAGGGGTTCTATTCTATGCTGTATTTGATTCGCACATAGTATCAAAGGGTGTATTAGCAAAAGTCTCTTCAATGTATAGAAGTATAACTACTTCATAAATTTTATCCTCTACTGTTTTTTCTCACTTTGGTGGTTAAATTATATAGGGCTGTATCAATAGTTTACCCTGTTCGGCAATTGTACTGATTCTTAAGTATATATGTAGAAGGCTCTCTTTAAGATGACCTTTTTTGCTTTACCTATCAATAAATTTTTCTATAGTCTTAAAAAGTACTGTAAGACTTATTAAATTGTGTATTTTCTGTAGGATTTTGCTTCTTAATTAATGCGAATTAATATTTAGAATGGTTTATATATATATAAATATCACACTGACCTTACCAGTTAAATACATACTGTAGGCTAAGCATGCTATAAATATATTTCAAAGATGGGGGATGATTAGAAGTAGTCTTTGTAGAAATACAAGAAATATTTCGTATTGGCCTGCAGTTTTAAAACTTCCAAAAGCATTTATTACTCATCTTATACCACTTTGGCTTATTACTTACCTAGTTAGATACCATTTGGCATGGGTCTCTATGCTACAATACCTGATCATTATTAAGTATTGTAACAACATGTTGTACTACCATTTTCAAAACTTAAGTTTCTAATACAAATCCATTTATATTTATTGGTGCTATTAATAATAAAATTAAATATTTATACATGTACATTTTTTTCTCCTACAGAATATTTGAAGTTTAAATTAAATGGTTGCCAATATCAAATTAATATCATATTAATAGAGATTTATAAAAAAAAAATATATATGACACAACAAACTTTTTATTTTAGTTACATATATTTTCCTTTATTGATTATTTTGAATCAAAATAATGGTATTTGTGTTTTAACATATGAAAAATATATATAAATATTAATAGTATACAAAATATTTCTACTTTTGTAGTTTGTATTAATAGTTTGTAAATATAATTTTTTTATTTTTTAGACTGAACAAAGATTTTTTATGTATTTATCTTCATTAATGAATGCTGATTTGTCAATACCACTTACTGAAGAAGAAATGTACAAATGTGAAATATTGAAAGAATGTCTTTTTGACATGGAATTGCTAACTAGTGAAAATAATTCATTAGGCTATGAGAATGAGTGGACTACTCAAATAAATACTGTTTTAAAGACAATGAATATAGAGTTGAATGAAGTATATGCTAGTCAAAATAATAATATTATTAAGTATATTAATTGAGTTTAAATTTTTATTTCGAAATATAAGTTTATTTTTTATATATTATTTATTTACACTAGAAGTGTTTGTAAATGGGATAATATAGTAAAGTCTGTTTGTGATTCTGCATCTTCATTGACTACTTGTATATCTGAGGAACAAAATATACAACGAAAGCAATTATTAGAAAAAACAAAAGAAAACTTCAGAAATACTATTCAAGCCACATTGCGTTGGAAATCTATTATTAATCAAATGTCACATGAAAAAGCACCCTGGTATTTCCCAGAGTCTTATCCAACGTAAAAATTATACCTCGTAAATAATATTTAAATGAAAAACGTACAGAAATTTTACACATTTTTTGTTGTGACTAATTTAGATCATGGGAACTTAATCCTATAGAAGGTCCTAATAGAATACGTAATAGGCTTCAAAGGTGTAACCTTAAAATTGCAAAGAAGTTCATTAAATCAGAATATGCTAAGAAAATTGGTAAGTAAATTACTATTATTCAATGTCTTGTAAAGTTGTCAACAAATCATATTTTAACTATATTTGTAAATAAATTATTTATAAACAAAATTTAGGTAAAAGTACTTTAAAAATTGTTTAGACAGCATTTCAACTCACTTAATTTATTGAAAAAATAAAATCTAATATTTATTATTACTACGCTTCTGAATAATAGTAATAAGTTAGTAGCATCATTATGGTTCTTCTTATAAAAAGAGATTTAAACAACTTGAAAAAACACAATGAATAAGTAGCAATTTTACTTACTTCAGAAATAACAATTAAATTATTTAACATAACATAATAATTACAATAAATACTAATAAATAAAGAAAAATCTATTGGTTCAAGTATTATAGAGTATATCTGCTTAGATAAATGTATTTTTTCAATAGAATTTATATAATGCAATTTTATAGATGCTTAGATTAATTTATTTATATAAACATTTAACAATTAATTAGTATTGTAAAATTTTATTTCCATTTATTTCAGTGGACAAAGAAGGTCCTTTAGATTATTTATTATCTGATGATTTAGAAGTACCAATCTCTTCTGCAGTCGTTGAGAGTTTATTATCAAAAGAAAAAATATCATACATGTGCACTGCTAAATTAATTTTACTATGGGAAAAAATCAAATGTGAAATACTTATTAGTGAAAATTCAATTTATATTGTTCCTATGGCTAATTCACAAAATGTAAGTATAAGTAAATTAATTATTAGATAAACTTATATTGTTATTGCCTTAATAATAGACAATTCAAGATGAATACTCGCATGTTTTAAAATTTGATGAAGTAAAGGAAATACATAATCGTCGATATTCATTAAAAGAAAAGGCAATAGAAATATTTCTTGTAAATGGAAAAACATTTCTTATTGCTTTTCATTCTCAACAAGTAATTCAATTCTTTTAATCAATATAATTCTTAAGAATAGATTGTTGTTATTGTAATTGTGTTTTAGGAAAGAGATGATTTTAGTAATTATTTATTAAATTTCTCTTTACCAAATCGAATTACTAGTGAAATACTTAGTGAAACGGTTAACTTATGGAGATCGCGACAAATAACAAATTTAGAATATTTGGCAATCCTTAATAAAATGGCTGCTCGTTCCTACAATGATTTGATGCAATATCCAGTCATGCCATTTGTTTTAGCAAGTTACAGTGGTAAAGAATTAGACTTAAATCAGATATCAACATATAGGTATTATTCCAAAAATAAAAATACTAGTAATATATGTAGATATTTTTATAATTATTATATACATTTCATAGAGAGTTAAGACGTCCTATGGCTATCCAAAACAAAAAAAAAGAAGCTCATTACATTCAGCATTACAATGTAATACAACTTTTAAAAATTCTTTATAATTTTATATTCTATTATTTTAATAATATCTTATAGTATTTAAAAGAAGAAGTACAGCGTTTTGGAACTGATCCTCATCATTATAGTTCTCATTATAGTAATTCAGGAACAGTACTACATTTTTTAATTAGAGTCCCTCCTTATACTCAAATGTTCATCAAATATCAAGTAATAATAAAGTTACAAAACTCTTAATTGAAAGTTAAACATTTAAAAATAATTTTTTCAACTAGGATAATAACTTTGATGTACCTGATCGTTCTTTTCATTCAATGGAAATTACTTGGCGCTTATCTTCTGATGAATCAACAACAGATTTAAAAGAACTTATACCTGAGTTTTACTATCTTCCAGAAATGTTCATTAATTTTGAACAATTAAACTTTGGAGCTAAACAATCTGGTGAAATTGTTGATGATGTATTGTTACCTGCTTGGGCTCAAAATAATCCTAGATTATTTGTACTTATTCATAGGTATATAAAAAATAAATCACATTTAAAAAAATCTAAATTTTGTTATAAAATTGTTTTAGACAACTTTTGGAATCTGAAATTGTTAGTGAAAATTTACCACATTGGATAGATTTAATATTTGGTTATAAACAAACTGGTAAAGCTGCAATTGACGCAATAAATGTGTTTCATCCTGCCACTTATTATGGGTCTCATATAGAAGAAACAAAAGATCCGTTAGCGAGATCTGCATTTAAAACAATGGTAAACACCTATGGTCAGACACCAAGGCAGTTATTTCGCTCACCTCATCCTATGACAATTGATGATTATTCTCCTAAAAATTTAATGAAACATACTTCTTGTCCAAATGTTATATCAGGTTAATAAGGAATTTAAAACTTAAGATCCTAAAGTTAATTTTATCTTAAAATTATTGACTTTATAATACAGGTGTAAAAAATTTGAAATGGGGTAATTATGTTGGATCACCTGAAGAATATACCCCCATTAATATTTGGAAAAGTAAATATGAAACAAGAGTCTGTGATTTTGTACCATTACTTACTAATGATGTATTTGGCCTTTCTAATAACTCTGCATTAATTTTGACGTATTCAAAGGTAATAATATTTTAATAATAATATACTGAAGGGCAATAATCTCTTTGAAAATTATGCGAAATAAATATTTAGTAATCATTTGTATATCATACAATGTGATTTTTAAGAATACCTATTTAAAAAACCTCTCCCCATTTTTGTTAAATAATGATTTTTTTTATAAAAATATACAAATTAAAATTTAATTTATTTTTATAAAATCGAATTCATTGTAAGAAAAAATTATTTCAAGGGTAGATTAAATTTTAGGAATAACTTTAAAAGTTTTAATGAGAACCTATTATTAGTTTTTTACTATTAAATAAAGAATGGTTTAAATAAAATTTTGACTGGTCAATAACTCGTTTTGTAATAATAGTATTTAAAGAATTAGAAAAATTGAAGAGCTGGATTTGCGATGCTCTATTTTTACTATGACCCACAGATATGAATTATTCAAAGTTTCATACCCCTCAAAATTTTACTTAGATAATTTTTCATTTGTTTGTAAAAAAAATAGTATTAGGTTCTCATTTTAATTTAATTTTCAAAAGTTACCCCAAAGATCTACTCTTACAATCAGCTTAACATTCACTATGGTTTATAAAATAAATAAATTTTAATTTGTATTTTTTATAAAAAAAATCATACTGTATATTAACTTTTTTAATTTCTCTTAAATAATATTAATTAATAATTATTATTATCAAGCTTGTTAAAAAACATTTACAAATTTTTAAAAATTGATTTTTAAAAAGTTTTTTGTTTTAAACAATGTATCACTGTTTTAAATGTATAAAGCTTGTTTTATCTAACATTTTATTTTTAACTCACCAAAAAATATAATTATTATAATATATTTATAAATTATTCTTTTTAAACACAAAAAAAAAGCAGCAACCCAACCCAAAACTTAGTATTCTACAAGAAAAACACAACATGATTAACATAACAATAGAAGGTAAAAATTTGTCCAAATAGACCATTTCAAGTACTTAGGCAGCACTATAACAGACAATTAGAAATCAACTAAGGAATATAATTGTAAAAATTGGCTAATCTTATTTATACAAGATGATTTACTTATCATAAACTACTTAATTAATCAAAAAATAATATAAATAATTTGTTTATTTGATTCTTTCAGTTCAACGTTTCTCTCAATTTTTCAATCATAAAGTTTCATTTATCCTCTTAGGAAGTTATTGACATATTTATATCTAGGTGAAAGGAAGAGTGTGGCCAAGAAATGTTTAGTTATAAAAATAGCAGCAGTACCCACTCTTTAACTATAATGAATAACTTAAATTGTTAATAACTTCCAAAATACTGGTCCAAAAGTTGTTATCGATCAGTCTTTACCTAATTAGATCATAATCTATTAAGTATGCTAGTTAATTAGTGTTGCCATTTGAGAAATTAAAGTTGACACCCTTATAAGGTTTAAGGGATGAACATCATTAATCTTTATGATTGAAAAATTGAACTAAAATAAACAAATTATTTATATTATTTTCTGATTAATTAAGTAGTTCATGATGTGAATTACTCTGTATATAAGAATGGTTTAGCTGAGTTGGTTACATGGCAATGCCTAATGTGCATTGTTTTCAGTTTGTAACTCTGTCATCAGTAGCTTTGTTTACTGAACAAGAAAACAGTTCAGTAATTAGAGTTGCCACCTTTCTCTCCAGCAACAGAATTACGGCTGATCCTGGAGTAGTCATGGTTAAGAAAATCCTTTAGGGTGGTTGCTATGGCTTTTAATAAGTTGTAAAAGCATGGAAAAAAATAGCTCAAGTATTGTTTACTTTAAATTGATTTTTCAGGAAAAATCATTAACATTATTAAATGAAGGAGTTACAATAATGGGAGTTGCAATACTATCTTGGAGTCATGCTGATGGTTTAGTACGTATTAAGCAACGTAAAGAAGCACCATATAAACCAGCATTAAAATTTTTCTCTGGTGAAATAGTTAGTAAAATTGCCACTGCACCACACTGTCCATTTATTTGGATTGGCTTTGAATCTGGACTTATTCATGTTTATAAGTATGTATAACAAATAATTACTTAAAATTTTAATTTTATAGTTTTCTAGAGGAAAACATTGTATAATACTCTTAATTTAATACTTTAACATTATATTAACTATTTATTTATAGTTTTAAAAAACTAAATAGTAGCTCAATAGAACACCTTAAGAAACTAATAACATAATAACCCTATCTTTTTTTGTTAGTAATTGATATTGAAAATATTTTGCAGATTTTATTTTGATGTTGCTGCTGGAAATGTTATGATATTTAGTGAACCTTATGTTTTAGTTGGTCATCGTAGTAAAATAACATGTATTTCTGTTAATCCATCATTTAGCATAGCAGTAAGTTGTGGACAGGATGGATCGGCAATTATTTGGGATCTTAATAGTGTAACATATGTACGATCTTTACAACCTATGAGCTCTCCAGTTAGTATTATACTATTGCATTTATTAAAATAGATATTTGTGTTTTACTATTTTTTTTTATAAATTTTCGAAAAAGGAAAATTAATATAAAATATTGGAAATTTTATTAAAGTGATTCTTTTATATTATAAGATTTTATCTTACTGAAATTTGATGTGATGGTTAAAAAATATAAGCAATATCCTTATGAGTTTAATGACACTTTTTTTATTCATTCTGGTTCTGGTATAAAATTTAAATTTAATTATGAATATTATTAAAAATTAATTTACATGAATTTTTTTCTTAGTTCAGATTACAAGTAACAATCTTTTTTTTTTTTTAATTTTTTTAATTAAATAAAGTAATAATCATTGATTTATATTTTGGTTATATATATAACGTAAAAATGATAAGCCAAAATAAATTATGACATGTATATTCCTAACCTATAAGGAGGATAGTGTGGCCCAGTCGGTAATGTGGCAGTGCTTGACACCCAATGTCTTGGGTTCAAAACACGATCTTCAAAGCTTCATTTTCCGAGAGAGAGATCAGTTTGGTAATTGGAGTCGTCATCCCTTTCCCGGTGATGAACTTATCACCCATCCCAGAGTATCAATAGTTAAGAAAACTCCTCTTTTAGGGGAGGCTACTATAACCCTTAATAAGTTCTTAAAGCGTTAAAATAAATGTATCTATTTCTCGAGCCCTACAAATTTAATTTAAAATTAGACTTATATTAATACTTGATTTTTATGGCTGTTTTTACTCCAGATTAATTTAGTGGCAATCAGTGAAACTCTAGGAGATATTGTAACAATTTCATATAACTTAGCTGAAGAAAAATCTACTATGACACTTCATACTATTAATGCCTCTTTTGTTGGAAGTATGAAGAGTGATAAAAAAATTACTTCTGTTTGTTTTTCTAATGCACCTGAAGGTGTTTCTGTGAATGTAATAGCTACTGGATATGAGGATGGAAGTGTAAAGTAATTATTATTTATGAACACTTATTACTATTTTGTTTTAATTTTTATACTAGATGACATGTTAGATTATATGAAGTACAATATTATTAAATTGTATACTTTAAATTACTTAAATATATGTAAAATATATGCATTCAAATTTTATATATTATTTTATTCCAGATTATGGAGTACATGGGATCTAACTTATGTAAGCGAAATACCAATTAATAATTTTAATGGTGCAGTTCTTGCGTGAGTTAATTATAGTCTTTAAAATGATTTATGTTCTATTGATAAATTTTTAATTATTTAGCATAATATATTCAAGAGATTCACAACATTTATACATATCAACAGAAGACGACACAGTAACTATTTGGGAATCATCTGGTTCCAAAAGAATTAGTAAAACCCCAAAATTTTTAAATCTCAGTATGTTGTGAAAAAATAATTTGTGTACATTATAATAAAATCATAGTATTATGCCAAGACTGGTAAACAATAAATAGTATATAATGTATAAAAATTTCGATGTTTCAAGGAATTAGCCAAATTTTTGGATTGTTTATCTATTATATTAAATCTTTTTTTTATATATTAATATTTATTATAAATGATTATATAATTTTATTTATCATTAATTTGTTTTAATTTAATGAACATGTGTAATTCAAAACATAGAAAAAAAAATATATATATATTAATAGTAAAATAATTTGAAGTAAATATTTATGTAACATGTAACAAAGTAGATAGGATATTATAGAATTGGTCTTTTTTATAATATCTATAAATTTCTGCATAAATAATGTATATAATTTTTTAAAATTTGTTTTAATTATAAATAAGTATTTTATAAAATAATTTATATTTATTTTACTTAATTTTAAACTACTACATAGATATAAAATTGATAGTCATGTTTATAATTATTTGTCTAAAAAAATTTATATGACATGTTAACATTTTCCATATTAATTTAAAAATATTTATGATATAATATAAATTTAATGATATAATTGTACAAGGTAAAATAATTAATTATAAAGTTAAGTTTATTGTTATTTCATTTTATGGTCTCAGTTTTCTGATCAGATTGAAATTAATTGATTTATTTATTTATGTGTGTTAAAATTCAATTTTTTAAGTTCCTAATTGTTATTAAAATGTATATATATATATATATATATAAATATATATTATTATTATTATTATTATTATTTGTTAATATTCAATTGCTATTTCATTTATATTATATTTAGTATTCATTTTATTTAACATATCAATGAAAAAATACGATTTTAAATTAATTTTTATGAATAAAAATATAAGATAAATTTTTTTTTTGACATTTGTTAAACATTTTTTATTCTATTACATTATAACTAGAATTATCAATATACAGTATAATTGATGAAGATATGACACTCAATAAATACTTATTCTAAAGTTATTATTTTTTTTATATATAAAAGGGGAATCTGACCATTTTGAAGTTACAAAAACTTTTCTTTTAATAGAAACAAATATACTTTTAACATAGTCTAAGAATCATATTTTGTATGAGACATTTTAGAAACAGGAGAAAACCAATAGTTAAATGCTTGAGGCCACGATATTATACGCCTTTTATGTAACAGTGAAATATCTTGAAGTTTTGCCCATTCGGTGGAATCTACAATTGTTTGTAATATTTTTTATTCTTTTGAGATATTGGAGATGGATTTATAAATCACAATTAAAAAAACTATACTTATGAAATTTATCTTCATTTTCTAATAAAAAGATTACAGTGCCTTTAAAAATGTTAGAAGTAGTTAATAATTATTTGTAAAAGTATATACTAAAAAAATTAAAATAGATAATAAAAAAATTATTGATAGTAACTTTTAAAAAAATATTTTCTGAACATAAAATAAAAAAAAAACAGCACAGTGGGGTGGCGGCACAGTGAGGTCGTGGCATAGTTGGGTCCAGTATAGATGATATCTGACAGTGATTAAAATCACTATCATAAAAAACGCTTCGATGCAAATCTATAGATAGTGTTTAATTAAAAAAAAAATTTTTGTTAAAATAGCATATTTTTGAATACGGTAGACATTTTCGCATAGAAGATAGATCGTTGGGACGAATTTTTTTTTTCATTTAATAATACATAAAATAAGCTTTAATTTGATATATGTTTAAAGGACGCAGTATTTCCGGAACATTTTCAAAAATTAAGTTGAAAAAGTTAGTTTTTGTAAAAAAGTTGCTATTTTAAATCCCCTTTGTGAGCAGAATAAGTGTAAGATTTTCAAAAAAAAAAATGATATCAAACGAAAGGAAATTACCTAAGGTTTCAATACAAAAAAATATTATTTTTATTTAATCATTTTTGAAAAAGTTATGGCAGTTTTAAGTACAAAACACATCCCGATAAAAGGTAATTTTTATCGCAAACATTACATTTTTTTTTAATTTTCGACAGCAATTTGGACATAGTAGATAAGGTGTCGGGACAAATTTTTTTTTTCATTTTATAGTACATAATATAAGATTTAATTTGTTATATGTTTAAAGGACGCAGTATTTCAGGAACATTTTCAAAANCTTTAATTTGATATATGTTTAAAGGACGCAGTATTTCCGGAACATTTTCAAAAATTAAGTTGAAAAAGTTAGTTTTTGTAAAAAAGTTGCTATTTTAAATCCCCCCAATGAGCAGGTTAAGTGTTGTATTTTCAAAAAAATGATATCAAATGAAAGGGAAATATCTAAGGTTTTAGTATAAAAAAAATTTATGTTTATTTGTTTATTTTTGAAAAAGTTATGGAAGTTTTAAGAAAAAAAAGTGAGAAAAATGACAAAATTTACCGATCTTTAAATTTGTAATTTTTTTGGATATTTCCCCCATTTGCGGGCAACGAGGGAATTTTTTTCAATGTTTAAGGGTAATGTCTCCAACTAGATACGATTTGTGATCTTTTGACGTATTTTTGAAAGAAATCGGTCCAGTGAGAACTGAGAAAAAGTGGCAACAGACATAAAAAAAAAAAAACACACCATAGTAAAATTAATACCTTCTCCGCTTCGCATCGAAGCTAAAATATGTAAATAGTTATTTGTTTAAAAAGTCAATAAAATTGAAATACGACTATTTCAAATTTTATTTTGTCTCTAGTTTAAAAAAACGTTAGTGTAATAAAATGCATATAAAATAAAATTTAAACATAAATCTTCAATCAACATCAATAGTGCCAATAGCAATCAATTAACAATCAAAGTATGCGAATAGTACCTTGAAAGTTTCGTACATTATTCTGTCTACAACCAACAATGTCTTACCCAGAAAATTTGAAACCTGTAATTGCCAGCTAAGTAACAATATTATTAATGTGCTAATACTAATCAAAAAAATAAAATGTTAAAACAAAATCATTATAAGAGGTCTTAAAGTATTCATCTTATGAACTGGCAAAAGAAAATTTTTGAAAATGTTCCGGAAATACTGCGTCCTTTAAACATATATCAAATTAAAGCTTATATTATGTACTATAAAATGAAAAAAAAAATTTGTCCCGACGACCTATCTTCTATGCGCAAATGGCTACCGTATTCAAAAATATGCTATTTTTCTATTAAAATTCTAGGTTTTGTATTTTATTTTATTTTAAAATATCTTATTAGGAGAATACATGGTGAAAATAGCTACCGTATTTAAAAATATGCTATTATTGTGTTAAAATTCTTGGTTTTGTATTTTATTTTATTATAAGGGGATTACACTGATTTTCATAAATATTATATCAATCTAAATGACATAGTATAAATAATTAATCATATTTAAATTTTTTTATTTCTTTGAAGTCGAGAAAAATAACTTTAAAATTTGAACTAGCTAAATTTCCATTTTTATTAAGTGACAAATGAGACGTACGGTTTTTGAGACGGTAACACTTGGGTCTTTCACAACTGGGTCACTGAATTTTTTTTTAATTCTTTTTGAGTTAAAAAAAAATTGTTAACTGATTTGATTTTTATCTCATTTAGATTCAATAACTTCAATAAATATGAAGGATTCCATTACTGTAGTCTCCTCTTGTGAGAAGAAGTTGATATTAATATTATTTTACTGTGGTTTTTTTTTTGTAGCTATCATTTATTTTCTCAGCTCTCATTTGACCTATTTTTTTGACGAATTTTTTTTTTTAATTAAATCTATCTAGAGATTTGTATCGAAGCGTTTTTTATGATAGTGATTTTAATCACTGTCAGATATGTATACTGGACCCAACTATGCCACGACCCCAATGTGCCGGGTTTTTTTTATTGTTGTTGTGTATTGAGTAGTGATAAGTTTTACGATTGTAATATAGCAGTAGTACCGGTTTACACCCGGCCCAGATAACATCTAACAAATGCGCGAGTGCCCAATAAAAATGTAATTTTCATCAATTAAGTTTTTTCGTAAAAGTAATTACGGTGTTGATTATTTCCTTAAATAAACCCGCAAAACATTGGTCCTTCATCCGGATTGAATGAAAAAAAAATTTACTCATGTTGGGTAGTGCGTTTATCTAGTAAATGCCAACCTCGTGGCAAAGTAAGGTCTTGACTTCCCCCTCCCCGCCACCCCACAAAGCCCAAGAAACTAAATAACATAATATCAAAATTTTATTTTTAAAATTCACCAACTTATCACTTAATTAAAACACAATATTATTAAGTTATTATACACATATTATTATACACTGATTATTTACAAAATACTTCAATTTTTAAATTAACTACAACACAAAATCCAATTTTCTATTTTTTTGAATACTAAGTTCATTTATGACTTCATCTGGTGAAACTTCTATTGTCCGGTAAATTGCCAATAAAGCCAGCCCATTAAGTCTAGTCTAATAATAAAAAAATAAACTATTATTTTAATACTAATTTATAATTGTATTCCAATAATAAATAGAAAATATATTTACTTCTGTCATACTATTCCTAAGATAGGACTTAATCCTTTTTAGGCTGGAAAAGCATCGCTCAGGAATAGCGGTGGACACAGGCAATGTACAAAATATTTTAAGAAGCGCATGAATATTAGGTATATTACTTTGTCGCATAGATCTAAAGCATGTAAACTAGATTTGAAAACAATTTTTTCTGTAACTATCTTAGCTCTCCACATCGTCAATTCTGCAATACTAGAGTTATGATCAATTGTGGAGGAATAAAACTCTGTAAGCTTTAGAAAAGTATTTCTATCCTCTTTTTAGATGTAATACTTGTGAATTTAAAAATACAATTAAATCCTAAAAAAATTAATTATACATAATAGGAACACAATTTCAAATACTAAAAACGTGAATAAATACACAATAATATATACCTTACATACAATGATTTTGAAACACCTGAAAAATAATTAAGCACATTTTTAAATGATATTTCACCCACTATTGGTATAACTGCGAGAATAATAATAACCTTTTTAGCTTTTTTCCAATTGTTAAATTCTATTTGTACAAGCTGCCCAAGTGGCCGATTTAAAGCTCCACCAGATTTTGAAAAAATAGCACAAAATTTACAAAATGCTCCATTTTTTATTTCAGAATACACAAGCCATGAAAATTCATCAAGCCATTTCGACTGAAATTTCAGCCCTCTTTTTTTATTTTTATCTAACAAAGGATAGTCATATGTTTTAGGGGGTACCCAAACATTTTTAAACGCCTGTAAATAGTTGATTCGTTCAAAATGATGAATCAGCTTTACCCATACAAAAGTGTATATTTTTGTTGTGGGATGATTTTGTAGTTGTGTATTTAAAAATTATATAATTTAGGTGCATAAAAGCAAGTGTCTCAGTAATTTAATAATGCGTTTATAAGTAATTTTTATTGTTAATAAAACTTATACCTTATGTCTAGTAACTTACTGATAATTTTTCCTCGTCATTTAAACTACGATTGATAAATAAAGCAATATCATTATTTCGTGGAAGCAGAATATTAGTATCACTTATACAATTGGTTTCAATCTTTAAAAAATAAATTTAACATATTTTGATGTATGAAAGTATGAATGCAAAGTACTACAACAAAGCTCTAAGCTGTGAGCGATACAACTAATATTTGTACAATAAATTATACAACTACAAAGTTGTATCACTTCAAAAATATAATAAATAATAAACTTACATTATCATCCTTATTGTTTTCATTCACATTAGTTTCAAATGTTTCAATGTGCGGTAATGCATGCGGAGTGACAAAAACTTTATTTGCGTTACCAGTAGAAATAGAATTAATTTCTGGTGGTGAATTTGAAACTTTCCTTTTGAAAAAATTTAAAATGGATTCTTTATTACTTTTCCCCGTTGAACTAGTATCCATGTTTTACAATCAAACAAATCACATTTACATTAAAACTCACTTAACCCAACAGTAAATTTGAACAACATAACTGTTATTAAAACGCGTTTATCGTTTACGTTGCTTCTCAGCACGCTTCACAACTCGTGATCATCAGTGTTACCAAAATTATTTAATATTTAATAAAACAATAGAGGCCTAACTCATAACTGATATCATTTTTATAAAAAAAAAAAAATTCACTTTTTTTTTTCAATATTGATTTTAACATTCATTTTCATAATTTCGTTCATTCAATAATCAAAAAAATTATTTTAAAAAACCTCCCGGGGGGGGATATGACCCCCATCCCCCCCTAAATACGCCACTTATTCTCAGTGTGAGAGAGACAATTAAAAAGATAGCTGGTTTAAATCTCTGTAAAATTTGTTTACGAGTGCATGCAGGCGAACGATGTACACAACGGCGGTGTCCTAAATGTTCGCAATCGCATAATAGTTTATTACATATTCCATGCACCCAAAGAAAAACCTCAATCAAAATTGAAAGAGAAATTTTATCAAGGGTTTATGATAATGTTTTATTAATACGAACAAAATAACTATTCTTATAAATAATTATTGTTCAAGACAAGAAAAAAAAATATCATATTGATAAATATATCATTGATTCAATAGTAATGATATATTTATCAAATTGAACAATGAATTTATTATATAGATCGAGGTTTTTCTCTGGGTGCGGGAATATGTAAAAAACTTAAAGTTTCCTAAAAAATTTTAATATTTTAATAAAAAAAACACATTTTATTAATATTGATTTTTACTTGAATATGGTGGGGTGTTAGTTTAAAAAACTACCGACTACCAGTGTTCACTAACATTTTTTGCAAAAAATAAAATGGTCACTTAGGATAGAAAATTTGCCGACTGACTAATATGTCCGTAGGGTTGGACATCTCATAAGTAAGAAAGACCACAGTACTATAATCCTCAGTACGCCACTACTGTCGGCTAAATGTGTCGGATTCATGGTCCGAATCATGGACAAAAGGGATGAAGGCTATATGATCAGCATAAAAATTTATTTAAATTTCCACTTTTATTAATATTGCATAAAAATTAATTTAGGCCAGTGTTTTTGTTAGTAAATATAAAATTATTAATAGTCATATTTTATTAAATTATAGCACGAAAATATTATTTTAAAAAAGATCAAGTAAATTAGTTGACTTTGGAAAGTAAAAAACAATTATTTAAAAATACTATCTCTTAAAGATGATTAAAACATAAGATGTTCTCGTCAAAATATTTTCTTAAATTTATCAATAACTTAAAATTTAGAATTAAGTGATGTTGTGTAAAACTGATAATGGGTCAAATTTTGTAAGGAATTTGCTGAATTTAATGATACTTTAGAGGCTGAACATAAAGTTATGGAATTTGTATCAATTTTTGATAATCTGGAAAATTTAGATTAGAAATATGATAATGATGAGATTAAAAGTATTTCTTTACCTATACATAGAATATATGCAAGTTATTTTTTTAATTTAATTGCAACCTCAAATATCGAAACATTTGTTAAAAGCCTAAATTAATCAAGTTTTATAATCTTATATAAATCAACTCATTTTAATTCACAAAATATTTTAGTTTAGCCAATTTTGAACTTATTACAAAATTTATAAAATTAAAAATTGGGTATTAAAAAAATGACCGAACAGCTTTTATTTTAAAACATGACTCATATTTCAATTTTCTTCAAAATTAACCTATGGAATTGAAGATGAGTATTATAGAAATATGATCTACCAATAAATATTAAAATTCTTTACTGCCCTAAAATCTTAATTTCTCAACTAACTATATATAAATGTATAAGTAGAATTTTTATTAAGATTTCATCAAAGAGTTTGGTTGGGTTACCTATAAAATTTTTGTGATATAATGTTAACTATAAATTACTAATTGTAATAATATAGTATTAGGTTTTCTTTATCTTGAATAAATAAACAAAACTGATATATTATATTGAATATAAAATATTAATCGAATTTCATCATCAGACTCATCATAATTATTGTCGTTAGCTCCATTTACAGGTTTTGAACTATGTCTCATTCCAATAACGGATCGAAATGCTGTCATCATGAGAATTATTATGTTTATAAGTTATAGTATTACTGACACGGTACCGTGTTTCCCTCAGCCGCACATCACGTTATCAACCTAAATGAAAGTGTATCGGGATCTGAATCATAAGTGCACGGTGGCCTAGTGATAAGGTTTGTCTATACGACGTCTTGGGTCGCGGGTTCTAATCCCGTACCGTGCCTCTTTTTTTCACATGATTTCCGGTACACTTTCTATAACCGGCCGTCAATCCCCGGCGGCCGTGTTATTACTTATTACTTAATAAGTAATTACATAGGTTAAAAACAAACAATTAAATATAAAAATCGAATATAACATTAATTTTTAAAATCATCTAAATTTGTAATTTAGATTTCAAAAATGGTAATTGTAAATAAAAAACTTGTAAAACTCTGAATTCATTTAAAGATTAATATCAGTAGTATTTAAAAGTATGGTAATTAAAATTTTTGTAATTAAACTGTTTAATACCCATTTAATTAAATCAATTGTTTATTATCGTGATATGAAACGGCGTGTCAGCTATGCAATTTAGCTACATGAAAGTCTTAATTTCAATAATTTGTCAATTATTTCTTATTAACTGTAAATTTTTTTTATACTCAATGCATAAACACTAGAAGACTTTTAAATAAAACTGGCAAAATTATATTTTACATATACTAAATCATAATTAATACTAAACCATTTTAGTCAGAATTAATGGAATTTTGTAATCCTAAAATAATTTTATCAAATCTTGACATTTTTCCTTCTTTAGTTAAGGAAGACCTAATAGGAATGCATCTATTATTAACATTTCTACAAATTCAGTTCAATACAAGATTTTAATGAAAAGTATAATTTGTCTGTCAGAGTAGGACAACAAAAACTATTGTTCTTTTTTAACTTTGATCCAAACTTGTAAATAATTTCAATATAGTTAAAACTTTAGTATCGTATAAAAAATTGATTTTTTTTTCTAATGGTAAAATCAAATGTAATCATTTTTCTTAAAGTACAATGAAATATATCAGTTCTACTATGACAAAATTTCATACTTAAGTAGCAAAGTAAAAAAATCAAAATGCAGCTAATGATGGCATGATTAAATTTTAATAAAATTCAAAACTAAATCCCAATCAGAGTCTTTTTTTTTATAGGAATTGTTTACTATTCCTAAATTTATTATGAATTAATTAAAAAATTAATAGTTTTAACTTCGATGTGAAGTATTATATTTACTAAAATGTGTTTAATTTTATTTGTTTGTCTGTTACCATTCAATCTCAGCTCTCGCTGGACCGATTTTGATGAACAATATGAAATATGATTAACAATTATTTTTAATTTTCAAATATTTAAGTGGCTTATAATAAAATAATTCAACGAATTAACTCTCCATGACAATTATGACTTTATCATATATAAACGTTGTCTATGTTGACATTGGGATCACTTCGTGTTTGCTAGTCAAAATAAGCTATCATCTCGTGTAAGTATTCAGAGTTATTTAACTAATTATTAATATGGCAAGCGAAAACAATACGGATAGTCATATTTATGAAACAAATATGAATGTTGTGAAACGCAGAGTTGAAGAATTCTGGAATCGTCGTTTCATGAGTTCCAATTTAGTCGTTGATAGTCCAGAAGAACCCCAAACATCAAGACAGTCTAAAGGTGAAATTAATAACTGTAGACACTATTAAGATTAATTAAACTAATTATCATGAAACGTGAAAACGATTAGATATAAAATATAACAAGAAATTAAAAAAGATTATTCTCTTTTTGATAAATAATAATTATTTTTTTATTGTAGTTAAAAAAAATTTTAATATTATTCACTATTTCAGTAAATTATAAACATTAGAGTAGATATAATTTCTACGTCAATGCATTTTTTCACCGTAAACATTTTCAAAATTAACTATTTAATTAATAACTTTTAAAATAATATTCTCTTAACAGCAAATTCTAGTGGAAATATTAACACTGAAACAAATACAGCTAAACCAAAAAAACAAACCTATCATAAACAACTTGAAAGTGATGAAATTATAGCAGAAAAAGTGGTAATTACAATTGTATAAATATATCGACCCTTACAATTTAGTAGAAATAATTTAATATTTATTATTATTTAGAGCAGCTGTATAAATGTATTATTTTTTGAGATATTAGTAAAAGATGTTAAATAATTTCAATTTTAATATCTTAATCTTTTTGATTTCCAATAAGATTTTTAAAGAAAAGAGACTTTTTATGGAAGATAATAATAACATATTAATTATATTCCAATTATTAATTTTAATTTGTCATTGATTACGCCTAGAAATTGATACAGTGAGGAGATATTGGAACACTTATTAGGAATCAAAAATCTGGAAAATATAGAGAGAAACTATCAGTTCCAGCCAAAAAAAGTTATATACCAATTGTAAATGATAAAGCACCAAAAATACCAGCATATTTATTAGGAAAAGTAAATTTTATTCTGCATTATTTTATATTCAAAAAGTATATATGTAGCCTAAACATATCTTTTGACTTAACGTAGATTTTTTAAATAAATTAACTAAAATTTATCCTATAATTAATATGTTCTGATGATTCATTAAGAGTTTTCATAAGAATCACTTGCATCGCAATAAATGCGATGATAAAAAGCAACCTATAGAAATATCCTTCAATGATAATGGTGGCCCTCACATAGAAAGTAATTTATCCGAAGAACATGATGAAGTCATTAAAAGTACATAAAAAAATTTAAACTACATTTCGATTATTGAAACAATTATTTTATACTTTAAACTCTTAATACTTAAAGAATTAGAAGCTAATAATGAACCTACAAATGACGTTACATTATCAGAAGTGTCTACTGATAAAGTAAAAGAAACTCTAGAAGAAAAAATAATTAATTTAGAACCTACAAAATGTGGAGTAAAAGTGCAACTCCTGGAGATAGCATCTTCTGAAAGCCCAAATTTAAAGAGAAAATCATCCGAAAAAGATGAGAAAATCATAAAAAGTAAACAATAATTTTTTTTATAAATATTAACTTGCATATAATGTTTATTGAAATTATTTTCTTATATTTTTAAACATTAATACTTTTAGAGGCAAAAATTAGTTCTGAACTTTTACATGCGACAACGTCAAATGACGTTACATTATCAGAAGTGTCTTCTGATAAAGTAAAAGAAACTCTAGAAAAAAAAAAAATTAATTTAGAACCCACAAAATATGAAGTAAAAGTGCAACTCCTGGAGATAGCATCTTCTGAAAGCCCAAATTTAAAGAGAAAATCATCCGAAAAAGATGAGAAAATCATAAAAAGTAAACAATAATTTTTTTTATAAATATTAACTTGCATATAATGTTTATTGAAATTATTTTCTTATATTTTTAAACATTAATACTTTTAGAGGCAAAAATTAGTTCTGAACTTTTACATGCGACAACGTCAAATGACGTTACATTATCAGAAGTGTCTTCTGATAAAGTAAAAGAAACTCTAGAAAAAAAAAAAATTAATTTAGAACCCACAAAATATGAAGTAAAAGTGCAACTCCTGGAGATAGCATCTTCTGAAAGCCCAAATTTAAAGAGAAAATCATCCGAAAAAGATGAGAAAATCATAAAAAGTAAACAATAATTTTTTTTATAAATATTAACTTGCATATAATGTTTATTGAAATTATTTTCTTATATTTTTAAACATTAATACTTTTAGAGGCAAAAATTAGTTCTGAACTTTTACATGCGACAACGTCAAATGACGTTACATTATCAGAAGTGTCTTCTGATAAAGTAAAAGAAACTCTAGAAAAAAAAAAAATTAATTTAGAACCCACAAAATATGAAGTAAAAGAGCAACTCCTAGAGATAGCATCTTCTGAAAGCCCAAATTTAAAGAGAAAATCATCCGAAAAAGATGAGAAAATCATAAAAAGTAAACAATAATTCTATTTTAAAAATTTGACCTTTCATTAGTTTATTGAAACAATTAAGCACTATTTTTATACATTAATTTTTTAGAATCTAAAGTTAGTTCTGAAGTTTCTCCTTCAAATATGAATGACGTGTTGCCTGCCGTGTCCGTTGTCGAAATTGATGAAATACCAGAGAAAGAAATAGGTAAAATAAAATTATTTTTTTTTATTGATTTCTTTAATATTTATTTCACANTTTTATTGATTTCATTAATATTTATTTCACATAGAAACATCCATAACACATATTTTGTTTAACTATGTTTAATCTTATATTTCAAAACCTAGGAATAATTTTACTCATATTAAACCATTAAGCTAGCTTAAGTAATTTATGAGAAGTTTTTAAATACGTTTACTCTTGTAGAAGTGACGCATGATTCGAACACAAATGAACTAGATCAGTATAACGCGCCTTCGTTTAAGTCCCCTAAATCTTGGTACACTTCGGACACAATTAATGATTATCTCAAATTGATAGTGAAAAGGTCCAATGGCGAAGTTCATGCAGTCGTTACCGACTTTATACCAGCATATCTTAGAGGAGGTTATCCAGCTGTCAGAAAATGGATAAAAAAAGATATCCATACATTAAAGTTCCTTTTTGTGCCAATGAATGTACTTGGCGGACATTGGATATTGACTGTGATAAATGTACCCGAAAGAACTGTGACATCATATGACAGTCTTAAGTCTTATGATGGTCCATATCCTATGGTGTTGAAAGAATATCTAACTGACTGGGAGATGGATAAAAAAGGAGCAGCTTCGTCGTGGACTTTAAAAATCGGTGAGACGACTCGTCAAACTAATGGGTATGACTGTGGTCCATTTACGGTCGAACTAGCCGAAAAAATGGCTCGAGGAGACACAACTCCTATAAATGCGAGTCTTATGCCTTCTGTAAGATTAAGACACAGAGAAGAAATTATAGCCGGCCAACTATTTTTATAATTTTTTATGAAAGAAGTTGCTTAAATGGCTTGTATAAAATTTCCTAATTTTTACATTAAATTGATATTTTTGTTAATATTTATACTTCCTAATATTTTCTTACGTTTTAGAAGCTTATTGTAATTATTATTTTATGTTATTTTTCTTTGTTACACTGCTTTATTAAATAAATGTATATTAAATGTATAAATGTATTAAATAATTTTATATTTAAATAGCTATGTTGTGTGAATACAAAAACTATATAATAAACATTTATAGGAAAAATTAGTGAAAAAGTTGGTCAATTACAAATTTTAAAGTTAATGGATTTATCTACCATAATAAAAATTTAATTTTAAATGATTGATGATTCATAAAGAGTTTCACTTTTTTTTTGAATTTATAACTAAATTTGTAATTTTAAAAATTTGTTTGCAGTAATTTTTTATTATGATCGACAAATAGACGGAGTAATGGAGCAGCTTAAAACTTATTAGTTTAAAAATATATAAAATTCTCTTCAATGCTCTTTTGTTCCCACGGTCAATATTCAATTTAAAAAATTAATTTTATGTTACACTAAAAATAAACATCATGACCTCTTTTTTCGCTCATTTAAAATTTTTGAAATAGCGATGTAGAATAAAATGTGTTTGGCAATCAAAATAAAATAATAACCCACTTCCAAAAAAAAATAAGTTTTTGGTTACGCCATTGATTACATTAACAGTAAATCAATGTCCTATCAACGTTTAAATATACTAAGGCTGTCATTATAATTAGTGTAGGGTGTGTTTTAATGAATCCATATTTAACAGATTTGGCGAACAGTATTAACTGAAATAATCTTACGTTCAAAATTAACGTTTAAAACTCGTTTAAAACGAAAATTCATTTTTAAACAAATAACCTTTTTAAAATTAATTTAAATTTTAACAAAAAAACATACTATATATTTTTAAATTAATAAATATTATCACTATCTTAAATAATCCTTAAATTAAGGACACATTCGCCTAAAGTTTAAAAAAAAAAGCTGTAATAGTATTATCAACTCTTTTTCACATTACGTAAGACATCAAGCTTCTAACATAACTTTAAAAATAATAACTGTATCCACTATTATGATTAATTAAACTAATTATTGAGAAACGGAAACAGGCTATGATATAAATATAACAACAAATTAAAAAAGAATATCTTCTTTTTGATAAATAATAATTATTAATTTATTGTACTATTTCTAATTAAAAAAAATTTTAAAATCATTCTCTATTTCAGTAAATTATATACATGAGAATAGATATAATATCTACGCCTAGAAATTGATACAACGAGGAGATATTGCAACACTGATTAAGAATGATAAATCTGGAAAATATAAAGAAAAACTATCAGATCCAGCAAAAAAAAAGTTATATAGCAATTCTAAATGATAAAGCATCATCAATACCAGCTTATTTATTAGAAAAAGTAAATTGTATTTTGTATATTTTTTTATATTTAATAAAGTATATATGCACCCTAAACGATTTTTTTCACTTAATGTAGATTTTTTAAATAAATTAATTAAAATTTATCGTATGATTAAATATTTTCTTATGTTTCGTTAAAAGTCTTCATAAAAATCACTTGCATCGCAATAAATGCGAAGAAACAGAGCAACCTGCTGAAGTATCTTCCAATGATTAGTATCATCCTAACATAGAAAGTAACTCATTTGAAAAAAATGATGAAGTCATTAAAAGTACATAAAAAATTTTTATCTACAATTTAATTATTGACACAATTATCTTACACTTTAAAACTTAAATAATTTAAGAGTTGAATGTTAATATTGAAAATTAGGCTTCAAAAATGTCAAATGACGTTACTCAACCCAACCAGGCGTGTTCATTGATAAAATAATAGAAATTCTGGAAGAAAAAATAAGTAATTTACAACACATAAAATTTGGAGAAAAAAGGGCACTCGTGGAGTTATCTTCTAACACTGCTGTACGCCCAAGTTTGAAAAGAAATTCATCCTATAAAGATGAGAAAATCAATAAAAGTAGATAATAATTTTTCTTTTTATAAATTTTAACCTGTATATTATGTTTATTGAAATTATTTTATTTTATTTTAAAACATAAATAATTTTAGTGTTGGAAGTTAAATTTTGAAAATTTGGCTTCAAAAATCTCGAATGACATTACTTTACCATGCGTTTCTACTGTGAACACATATGATAAACTAATAGAGTATAAACAGCTCATCCAGTTCACTTCCAATACTACTGACGACCATAACTAAAATTAACCTGCATTTTGACTATTAACACAATTTACTTACACTTTTAAACTTAAATAATTTTAGAGTTGGAAGTTAATATTGAACATTTGGGTTCGAGAACATGGAATGACGTTATTTGAACACCTATGTGCTTTTTTACAAAATACTCACATCAAATATTTTAAACCTGTTGTATCAATGTCAATTGGAGATACAAAAAAGTTATATCTCTAACAATATGTATAGTATATACATCGGTAGTTATTATTATATATCTACCGTATTTAAATACATATAATTAACCCATCCCGACCATAATATATGTTGGGATATATTTAATCCCCACCATAGTATATGGTATGGATATAATACATCCCCACCAAATCATATTGTATATGTATTATAATTTTCTGGAACTTTTTGGAATATATTGGAAATTTCTGGAAATTTTTGGAAGTCCGTGGCGGATGGTCCGTCTATTAGACCGTCCCAAATTTGGGCATGTCCCGTATTGAGAATAAATAAATAAATATTATGTTATCAACAAATAAATTATTCAAATAAGGAAATAATCAATTAACATAGAATTTTTTATAATAATTACAAATTTTCACTTTTACAGTAATAATTTACAAAATTTTTAATTTATTGCGTAATAAATTTAGTGAAACGTTATTCGAGGAACCTTGAAAGAATAAGAAATTGTCATAACACAAAACAACCTAAAGTGAGAAAGTAAGGTGGGTACGAAGATGATAAATCTGCTGCCTGGATATTGACGTATGTGTGATCGTACAGCAGTCACCGTGCCCGGTTGACACTCCGTAACGGCTGTAGGTGTGGAAAGGCCGTTGTTATAGGAATGGAATAAGGGTAATACCCAGGTATGTGGTGCAGACGAAGTGCAAGACACAAGTACTGCGGATGCGCTATCTGTGTTTTATTATAATAATTTTTTACGATATTAGTAACGTGACACCATCACAGAATATTGCGACGAAGAAAATTGTTTCTAGCGGATAAAAAAAGAAAGAAATCAAGTACAACAATTAAATTTAGTGATCCTGATGGAGGATATGGTTTGGCGGAACCTTTCAATAACATTCCTTTTTAAGAAAAGCTGCATGAGAAAATGAGTATTTTTTGTAAAAACTAAACGAAATTGATATTAGAGAATTTGAAATGTCTATAAGAGAATAATACCATAACCAAAATTTGTATACCGAGAAGAAAAAATGGTTCAGTGTTCAAATTTTGGAAACATTTGTATGATACATTAGGGTGGCCCTCAAAAATCGAATGACTTTTTTTTTTTTACGCTACCCCTTAATTTTTTTTTAATGGTCAAAAAAATGAGCTGTGCAAAATTTGGGACCGATCCGTTAAGGTTAACCCGTGCCCCCGGGCCTATTAAGTTGAGTCGAAGAGTCAAATTTAATAGAAATAACTGATCTATGTCTCATAACTTTTTTTTCTCTTAACTTAGAATAATAAAAGTAAAACTCAAGTAAAGGAAATTTTACAAGAAATTCAAAAATAATAACTTCAATGTTGTTTTCTCAATAAATAGCCCACAAAAACACTACATACAGTAAAAAACATGTAAAAGTCTTAAAATACGTTATAACTGATTTTGTTGATTTTTAATTATTTATTTTCATTTTATTTTTTGGAAAACGCATATTCGTTTAAAAAAAGATTCTAGAAGTTTAATTTTTTATGCCAAGTACGATAATTATATTAGATTTATTATTTTATGGACAGTTAATTAATGATTAATTACAAACCTAACAGTTTAATTTAATTTTTATTAACAATTTTTAATTTATTTTTTTTTAAATAATAATAACTTTAAAAAAATATTTTAACAATAATTAAATTATATTATTATAATATATTTTTTGATAATGTACTTTTTTTACAATTAGGAAATTTTTTCCGATAATTACTTACTATTTGTAAAACGTATTGTTTCTGTTCTTCATTTGTAGTTTATATTTAATGTAGTCTTAGATTAATTTAATGCCACGCTAGGCTGTATCATTAATAACTCGTAATTTACTTATAGTATTTAAAGCATTTATGTAACTGTTGTTCGCACTCCAAAATGATGGATCAATTTTCAAAAAATCAGTGTTCAGATTAAATAGTTGTAAATTTGATGATAACTTACTATCAGTTATTTCGTGGGAATAATTACCAATAAGATAAATATTAGTTCGTAATACTTTAAAAGACTCTAAAAGTATTGTACATTTGTGATTAAAACATATCATTTAATATATAATAATGAACAGGTAAAATATATTTAACGTGTTTACATATTGTCTGCTGCATTTATACGACACAAATTATGTCAGTTGTCGAAAATAACTCAAATATACTTATCTTTAATAATAATATAATTGGTACTATCTTAAAGTAATTCAGTAAACCAAAATTGATATATTAATACGACAAAATGTAATAATACAATCAATTTTGTTAAATTTGTAATTAATCATTAATTAACTGTTCATAAAATAATAAATCTAATATAATTATCGTACTTGGCATAAAAAATTAAACTTCTAGAATCTTTTTTTTAACGAATATGCGTTTTCCAAAAAATAAAATGAAAATAAATAATTGAAAATCAACAAAATCAGTTATAATGTATTTTAAGACTTTTACATGTTTTTTACTGTATGTAGTGTTTTTGTGGGCTATTTATTGAGAAAACAACATTGAAGTTATTATTTTTGAATTTCTTGTAAAATTTCCTTTACTTGAGTTTTACTTTTATTATTCTAAGTTAAGAGAAAAAAAAGTTATTATACATAGATCAGTTATTTCTATTAAATTTGACTCTTCGACTCAACTTAATAGGCCCGGGGGCACGGGTTAACCTTAACGGATGGGTCCCAAATTTTGCACAGCTCATTTTTTTGACCATTAAAAAAAAAATTAAGGGGTAGCGTAAAAAAAAAAAAGTCATTCGATTTTTGAGGGCCACCCTAATGATACATGTTAATACAAATTGTTAAAAAAATGTTTAGTCTTTTATACGAACCTCATGTCAAATCGAGAGAAATGTCATACGGTATTCAAAAATGGTGTAAATGGAACATTGGGCTAAAACTCAGTTTGGGCAACTTTATGAAAAGCGTGTTCAATTATGTGGATTGTTTGTTGATAAAGAGTACCCTTTTCTGGTAATAAGTCTTGGTAGTACTGTGTTTAATTTCCGATAATTCGTTATTATATAAACTTAAGAATTTTTTATTTTATTCAGATGGACTGGTTGAAAACACAGCTATAATTAAGATTAAGTGTCCTACAAAATTCAATAAGATATTTTATTTTTATTTACTATTGATCTTACTTTAAACATATTGATTTCTCAAACATGTTGATGTCTAGTTACTATATTGCATGATTAAAAATAATAGTATCGAACTAAAAAAAAAAATCATAAATTATTACTTTCAAATTAAGGTCGAAATGAGAATAACAGGTCATGAAGTTTGTTACTTTATTGTATACACACCAATTTGGATAAATATCCAAGTAATCGAATATTACAATGCATTTTGCACTACAAAAATGGAAGAAAACTTGATAATGTGAATATTTTATTAACCAATTCACTTAAAAAAAAAAATGAATATCATAAATAACCAAATGACATTTTAGATTTTACTTGAAGTGTCGTTTGCCCGAAATTATTTGTCCTTTATATGGAAAACGTCTAGAACTAATGGATATAAGAAAGCCAGAACACATACAATATGTCATTAAAAAAAAATGAAAATAAATGTGCTTTATTAAATGTATAATATAACACAGACCCCAAAAATGTTTCAATTATCTTTCTCGTATTTGTTTTGCGTAATTACATTTATATCGAAAACATTCTATTTATAAACTAATTAAATTTTAACACATACACCTAAACATTGAAGTTTTACTAATTACAGGAAAATTCAGCATTTTAGAAAGTATTATAGTTTTCAGCAGCGCGCGAGTAATTATCATTGAGTATAGTTAGATTTAAATGGCATTATGTTATTTATGATATGCAAATTAATGTTACTGAACGATAACTAGATAGCGTTCTGTTTCGTGTGCTTTATTTATTTATTGTATTACTACTCCGGCTTAAATTATAACGGTTTTTTGAGATTACATTTCATTGTATCAAAGACAATATGTTATTACTGGTAAATGCTTAAATTTTGAACTTTTATTATTATTCATTTACTATGACAGTGAATTATTATTTTCGTAATCTAATACGTAGTGTCAATTAAAATATTAGTACTAGTTTTAATAGATTATAGCAATGGAACCAGCTGCTGAATCAATATCTGTGCGATCAATGCGTCTCAATAATACTTTAATGGGACCCATCATCATGTCAAATACAACATTAAACAAAGAATTACTTTTTGATTCTATTATTTTATTGTTTGATGAATGTAATAATGAAGTAATGAAAAGTGATCCATTGATTGCTAATTTTGTTAACAAATGTAAGTATCTAAATTTTTTTTTACCACAATGTATGAATGCAAATTTAGATTAATGTGAAAAAACCTACATTATTTTACTCTGTGCATGCGTTAAATAAAAAATGTTTTTTAAAAGCATTTATTAGTTCTAAGTTTCATTTATTAAGTTAAGCTGGATACTCAAGAATAACATTTTACATTATGTATGTGTTTAACATTCAATATATTATATTTAAATTTTGTTCTTTTTTTTTTTATTTTAATTAAAACTTTCCTTATATTTTAGTGGTAATTTAAAATATATATATATATAATTGTAAAGGAAGGCGCACATTACATGTTTGTAATAGATTAAATTTATGTTAGTCTATATAATTAAATATTATTAATATTATAATTAATTTAAGGGGTGATGTTTGGTGTTAGATTTTAATTTAATGATATATAGAATTCTTTTAAATTCATAAATAATAAAATTTATACAATCCATATATTTAAAATTGTAAGTAATTATTTTTAATTTTTTAAATGAACTTAAATAAATTCCTGATTATGTTAAATTTATTAATGTTTATTGAATTTGTTTAATTTATACTTATTACAGTTAAAATGGTTATCCCAGAGTTAAAGTCACTCCGTGTTAATCGTCTGGATTTTGAATCAAAGCAAATAATTGGTAAAGGGCATTTTGGTGATGTTGAGTTAGTTGTTGAAAAACATACTAATAACATTTTTGCTATGAAAGTTTTAAAAAAAGACAATTTAATTAACCAAAAAGATGTAATATTCTATTTAACGAGAAATTAACACAAATTAAATAGAAAAATATTTTTATTTTAAAAATGTATTTTAGATTTCTTTTTATGAACATGAGAGGGATATAATGGCATCATCAAGTTCTCCGTTTTTAACTCAGTTACATTATGCATTTCAAGACTTTCAAAACTTATATCTTGTCATGGACTATCATCCTGGTGGTGACTTTGCTAATTTAATTGATAAATTCAATGGGACGCTACCTGAAAAAACAGCCAAGTATTTTAATTAATAATTGAGCCAAACAACCATACAAAATATTTTTTAATAAATATCATAAATAAATAAATAATATTTTAATATCAATTTTTAGATTTTACATAGCAGAATTATTATTAGCGGTTAAACATTTACATGCCATGGGATTTGCTCATCGTGATATAAAGCCAGAAAATATGATGTTAGATCGAGTAGGACATCTTAAGTTGGTAGATTTTGGTTCTTCTGCTAAACTTGACCGTGATGGTAAGATAAAAACTCGAATGCCTGTGGGTACCTCAGAATATGTCGCACCTGAGGTTTTACAAGTAAGTTATATAATTAAAATTTAATTCAATTCAATTATGGCAGTGTAACTAGATTGAATTCAAACATTTATATTGAATAATGTCACATTTACTTTTGTAGTAATACTTTAAATTTCTCTTTGTGTTCTTAAGTGTACTTATCATTTTATAACTCATTTTGTCTTTTAATAGTTTATGCAGTCAAATTCAATGAATGGTTACAATGCCCAATGTGACTTATGGTCTGTGGGAATTGTTGCTTATGAAATGGTGACAGGAGATACACCTTTTAACGCTGAACAACAAGCAGTTATTTACTCCAAAATATTAAGCTTTGATAATTTGTTAAAGTATCCTGCATCTTCAAAAATAAGTTCATGTTAGTTTATTTCTATTTTAATTTTTATCAATACTATTTTATATTATCTTATATGACTTAACAGCCTACAAGCAAATGATAGAATGTTTGGTATGCCATGTAGAAAAAAGATTTACTGTGGATATGATTATAGATTTAGAAATTTTTTCAAGTATTAATTTCAATTCATTACATGATCAAGTTCCACCATATATACCTTCTTTAACATCTGATAAAGATGTTTCAAATTTTCCAATGCATGAGCGAGATCGTCCAACTCTTAATATAAATAATTTTAAGGTAAAAATTATTATATTTTACATTTTGAACACAATAATAATACTTTTGTTACTTAGAAACCAAAACAGTTTACTGGGCGAGACCTACCATTCATTGGTTTTACTTATAATATTCAAACACCAAAACGTAACCAACAACATTATATTAGTAGTCCAGAATTAGAAACAACAATAAAAATTAAAAGAAAAGAACTAGAAGATGCACATGTATTAATACAAGCGTATGAAGAAAAATTAACAGAGTATGATCAAATGATGGTTGCAAATGAAGAAAGAATAAAGAAAATGGAAGAAGAAAATGTTTTATTGCATGTAGATGTATCTTCACTAAGTAGTGAATTAGGAAGGTTAACTAAAATAAGTGAAACCAGTGAAACTAGTACCGATGAAATAGATGTAATGCAAAAAAAACAAGCTGAAATTGTAAAAGTAATTTTAGTATTTTTTTTCATTTAATTTAACAACCTTTAGTTTAAGAGATTATAAAGTAATAATTTAAAATTTATTTAAACCCACTCAAATTATTTATACAATAATGAATGATTTTAATTCTTTAGAACCATTGTATATAGTATAATTAACTTAATATGATTACAAATAATAAATCTCAATTTATTATTGAGATTAAAGTATCTTTAATTAAATGTTAAAATTATATTTTTAATTACTTTATTTAATATATATTTAACTAGAATGAAATTGATAAATGGGAAATAAAAACAATTAATGAATTGTACAATATAGAAGAAATGAAAACACAAAATGAAGATCTTTTAGCACAGAATGCCGAGTTACAATCACAGTAATTTTTAATCTTAAATTTATTTTATATATTAATATACCATCATTTCCTCAACTGTATAATGTAACTAATCTAAATGAAAGTGTATGGGAGTCCTTATAATTAAGGTATAATGGTTTAGATATAAGGTATGTTGACATGACACAATCGGCTGTGATTTTAAATTTAGTTCTGTGTTTTTCCAATACACTTTCAAAATTTTGCTGTTAGTTGCATTAAATAGTATTATGAATAAGTAGTATTGAACAAGATTTCAGCTAGGGTTTAAGAATAATTAATTCCTTTTAATGATTTTATCCATAAGATATTGAGTTATTGATCCTATCTATTGTTATTACAGTGGGGGTAATTATTAGGTACTGTTGCTTTCGTTAGTTACACATTGATACTAATTTAAACGAATGTGTTTCAGTATCTGGGTTTGTTAAGTCAAATTGAATACTAAGTTACTAAAGTTACTATTTTATTTTAAAATCAAATTATCTAAAAATAGGAAAATAATTTAATAATCTTTTTTTAATATTATATAAATATATATATAATAATATGTATTAAATATAATCTAGTAAAAATAAGGCCCTCAATATTATGAAAAATATAAATATTTTATTATATGGCTGGTTTTACAATAGACATCATCAGGTACACTAATAAATGAATTACTAAACACACTATAAACAAATAAATTTGTTTCCTTATTTACTGAACATTATGTATCGTTATGCACAATATATAAGGTATTATCTTAAAACATTTTCCTTTGATATTATAAGGTATTTAAATATAGGTTTTACTCTTCTAATAATAATTTTCATCAATCTATTAAACTAATCGTAATTTAACTACTAAAATTAATTAATAAATATGTAGTATAATTAGGAAATAAATTTTATTTTTGATTTTCTTTAAAAATGTAGAATTAGTGAGTTTCTACATATTGATATATTTGTATACTACAAAATATCTATTAATATTTAGTACTGATATTTCTTAATATTAGGAATAAATGAAATTTTTGCCAATTATTTGTAAATGTCTAATAATAATCATATTCTTCTTCTTTTTCCTTGCCTTAATCCCAACTACTTGGGGTTGGCCAATAATCATATAATAATATGATAATATTATAATTATATAATCATATCTAATAATAATCATATTACCAGTTTAAATATTAACTTATTATAATTTTATAATCTAATATTTTAAATATTAGATTTATAATGTATTTTAAAAATATCAATTAATGAATATTGTAATACTTGAGTATTCAGAGCAAAAACTAATTTCGATTTTAAAATTATTTTCTTGTATTATTTGATGTATGATTTTTGCTATTCAATAAAATTAGTTTAAATTTCATACTGATATGCTATACATAGTAACCAAAAAGAGAACCTACATAGGACCATAGAAGATTTCCTGTCAGCTTCTCTACTTCTCCTTACTCTCTTGTCAATATTCGTCCAGTATAACTGAATAAGTCCTACATTCTGTCCATTTGTCTGTGACACAAAAATAGATGGTAATTCCCTTTTCTCTTCACTTCACCCATGCTATACATGTGACTGGCAACTATTAATACGACAACTTATAATTGATTACATATTTTGCTATGTCCTAGGGAGTGTGAAATTCACTAAGTCTTGACACACTGTAACTGTCATTTGCTATATTGGTATTCTTTTGCTATTCTGACTAACTTGCATACATTTCCCTGGTTGTTTTTATGCTTCAGTGTATACTCTGATCTTTTTCTAACTTACTCCAGTTACAAACCATTAATTTGCATTTGTTTTTTATTCTTTGAATTTATTATTGGATTATTAAGTATTAAAATTTTGTGAAATAACAGGTACAACTAATACTAACTTTTAAAAAAAATTGTGTCATTTATATTTGTGATAGCTAAGTTTCCTATAATAAATTCATTTTGATTAGTGTATAAATATTGTGCATTTTTTTGATAAATTTTCAAAAAATAAAGGATTGATTATTAATTTCTTTAAAAACTTTAAAATATAAATATATAGTTGTATATGCTTTTTTGAAACTAGATTATTAAAGCATCAAAACGATATTAAAATTTATCAAGTAACTGAAGAACAGTTGAACAAAAAAATTGCCAAACTAAAATCAAAATTAAAACACATTGTTCGGCGTTCTAAACAGTTAACTGAAGAAAATATTGACAATCATGTTGCTTCATTAATGACTGAGATAAAAACAAAAGAAGATAAATTTGGCGTCGAAATGAATAAATTAAATGATGATAACAATTCACTTCAAAAAAAAATTGTTTCTATGCAAAAAGATTTGGATAATTTAAATAATAAAGTAAAAAAAAATTACATTTTTTTTATTGAGGTTATATTTTCTTTATATTCATTTATGAATGAAATAGGTGATTCAAAATCTAGAAAAAGAAATGAAAATACAGGAGGAACATAAGGCAACATGTTTGAAAATGGTTTCAGAATTTGAATCTAAACTTAGCTTTGTTTATAAAGAAAAAGATATAGAAATTGAAAAATTACACAGTAAAATTGCACAATTACAACAACAGTTCAGTGAGTCTTTAATATCATTTGAAAAACATGAAAATGCTATATCAGCCAAAGAAAATGAAAAAGAGGCAAGTATATTTAAGGGCATTCTAAGAATATATTATATGAAAAGTACTATATAGTATGTTGTCTTTTTAAATATTGTAAAATGCAAAAGTTGTAATTCCACTTTTTTCAAATTTTTTTTGGAGATTTAAATAAAAAATAAAAAAAAATTTCTCTTGAAATGTGTAGTATTTTTAAATTAATTTTTGTTCGAACCATTAGTTTTTAAAACAAATTTGAACCATACTTGTAGTTTGAAAATCAAACTTAAAAATAAAAAAATTGAATCAAACTTTTTCTATTTAAATTGAATTGAAAATCAAATTAGTATAATAAAAAAATTTCTGAATTTATTAAATAATATAAATGGTTAAAATATATGTTTGTTTCAAAAACAATTAAATTTTATTATTAATACGATTTTATTCATTTTAAAATAATACACTGAATATTATAATCTCTTTCTATTTTAGTTGATAAAGTAATTTTAAGATTTTCATTAGTAGTTAAATTCAATAATTTTATTAATGTAATTGTCTTTTTAATTAATAAATATAACATCTGCCATTATATTTGTAATTATTATATTAATTTAAGACTTAAAAATAGGATGACTTTATTTTATGTATTAAGTTATTAATAATAATTGTAGAAAGTCTTGTGTATATGCTTTATAAAAGGAATAAAAGGAATATAGAACACTAACTGTAAATTTATTTTAATAGTTTGAATCTGAATTAAAAACTCGTGAACAAGAAATCAAAGATTTAAAATTAGATTTGAGAATCCTAGAACGTAAATATAAAACATGTGAAGAGACAATAAGTAGACTTAGGGTAAATAATTTATCATATATGTTATTTATTAGTATTTAAAATTATTATTATTTTCACAACAGGAATATCATAAAGATCTTCGATCTACAAATAAACAAGAAATTTCAAAAATGCAAGAAGAAACAAGAATGCAAATTAAGGTCAAAGAAGATGAAATCATAGACTTACAAAAAAAAATAATTCATCTCAATGAACTCGTTGAATCACTTCAGCTGAAACTTGATAAAGAAGTAGCTGAGTCAAAACGTTTGGAGATAGAATTAAATAAATTGAGTAATGATTCAAAGAATTGGGCTATAGAAAAATCAACACTTGAACGAAACGTAATTTTTTCTATTATTTTTAATTAAATATTTATAGTTTAAATTACTGGATATTCTTAATAGATTTTCTAAAGCTTTACAATTTTTCAAACAAACCTTAATTAATAATCATGTTAAATAAAATAAAAATCAATTAAACTTTTTTTATTAGATACAATCTTAATATTTATTTTACTAATTTATTATTCCTGACAGGTATTAGAAATTAAAACCAAGTTTAATAATTGTGAGTCCAATGTTAAGACTCTGCAAGAACTAGTTACAGTGCAAGATGAGCAATTAGAAGGTTTTGAAGAAGTTGTTCAGTCGATGAAAATTAAAGAAAAACATTTACTTGAAGAAATTCAGACCAAAAAAGTAATTTTTAATTAATATTTAAAAAAAATTTTATTTCTAAATATTATTGTAACTGTATTAACTTATTAATATATTTTGAACACAGGATGAAATTGAAAAAATTAGAAATGATTTGAGAGACACTAAAAAAAAATTAAATGAAGAAAAATCACTACGCATTTTAGCTGAAAGTAAGGGAAAATCTATGGACAGTGTTCAAGACAATTTAAAAACGGAATTAAAACATTTGACAGATCAAATAAATGAAAAAAATCAAGAAATTGACTCATTAAAAAAACAAGTGAGTAATTTTATATTTGTTAGTATTTAAGAGACCTTATACACATATTCAATGTATTGTTAAATTATTTTATGAGTTATAATGTCTCAATATTTCCAACTGCAGTTAGAAGAATTGAACTCAAACTTGAGAGAAAAAACTACGATGTTCTTTACACTTCAAGTAGAATCTGAAAAAGTAATTAAGGAATTGAATAGATTAAAAACAGAAATATCTGAAAATATTAGTCAAAAACAATTGTTAAAAGAAGCTAATATTCGGCTAACACAACAGTTAGAAGCAACAGTTGAAGATTCAAATGTATGTAATTTTAGATATATTATAAAAATACAGTACCATTGTAGTAATAACTAAAACTGTCGATACTTTAATCATTCTCTATCAAATATTTGACACTTAGAAATATTTTATGACATCCTCAAATATAAAGTTGATATCAATGATATAGTTATTAAATATTAAAGAATAGGTATTTTAAAAATATTTAAGTTCAATTTTTATTTAAAACTTCTACTGATGCTAATAATTAGCATTACAGATGTATTAGAATAGAATTATTTTATTTTAATCCATATTTCATATAATGTTTGTATTTTCTCTTATATAAAGGTAATTTTTTTCACATGTATCCATTTTTTATGAAAATATCCTTATCAAATAAATTATTATTAAATTATTTTTTGTGACTATTATTAGGCTATTATTATTAATTTATATTTACAGGTACTGCAAAATGTTATTGGCAAACAAAAAAATGATCTAATTGAACAAAAAGTTTATTATGAAGAACGTTCAATTAAAGCAGATGCTACCATTTTGCAACAGACAAAACTTATTGACTTTTTACAAACTAAATTAGATGAATTAACTAAAAAAAAGAGAACTTTAGGAGACTTATTGTTTAGTGGAAAAAATAAGGAAAACGTTGATCAAAAGGTAATTTATTATTTTTTGTTTTAATTTTGCATATTAAAATTTTTGTTTTTATTTTATAGGAAATTGAAATTTTGTTAAATTCAGAAAGAAGTAAGTCTAAAGATTTGGCTACTAAATTATATCAAACACAAGCAGAGTTAAATATGGTAAAAGCTCATGGTCCATTGCCATCACCATTAGCTCCAACTCGTCTTAACTTTGATTCTAATTCTCCAGTTTACTCTAAAAATAACTCCAGTTTAAATTATAGAGCAACATCTGGATCTATTCATAAGTATTATAGTTAAAATAATGGTATGCCTACAGTTACTAATATTTTGATACTAATGTTAAGGTTTGATGTAAAAATATGTAAACGTGGAGGACTGCAATGTTCACACTGTGAATCTGAAATTTTGGTTGGACAACAGTTAAGCCAGTGTCTTGAATGTAGAGTATCAGCTCATATAACATGCTCGCATGAGTTATTACCTGACTGCACAAGAGGTATTTCTAAAAAAAATTTAAGTCCTATTGAAAATCATAGACAATCTCAAATTGAATCTTGGATTACATTGTGGGAGTAAGTGATTGTTTGTGTTTTCTTTTTTAGTTAATATTACCAATTTTAATGTTAATATATATTTTTTAGTAATACTAAACAAATTTGGGATAGAAAGTATGCCAAAATTGAAAATGGTATCCTTTACATTCTTAATAACAAGCATGATCATGAAAATGAATCTTATTTTAATTTACCATTATCACTTTCATCAAACAGTATTAAAATAATCGATGTTGCTCAATCTAATGATAAAACATTTGATAAAGACACTAATGAAGACTATGAACAAATGTTTAAAATTGAGGTGTATAGTTCACATAGTGGTTGGATGACTGTATTTTTATACATAATTGTAGCTAGTACATTAGAAAAAGAAACCTGGATAGATATTTTAAAAGAACATTTAGTTGATAATGATTGTATTTTACATCAGCCCAACCAAGGATATAAAGATATTCTTTACACATTTCAGAAGGATAAAATTTTAAATGTTAATTGCATTTATCAAATATCACAAAGTGTATGTTAAATGTTTGTTTAATTGGTGTAGTAAAAATTTAATAATTAAGTTTTTACTATATTAATCAATAATTATAATTATAAATAAATTTAAATGTTATAATAGATATTCTTATTGGGTGCTGATGAAGGGTTATTTTCTATTCATTTAAAAAATCAAAATGGACAGTTAAAACATGATATAGTTTCTATAATTGGTCCAAAATTAGTAAGAAATTTTGTATTCTTGCCAAAAATTCAAATAGTTTTAATTATTGCTGGTAAGTTTAATATTTTTTATTTTTTCTATGATATTTGGTTTATACAACAATGTATTCGTATGAAACTGATTATATATTTAATAAATAATAAATGTATTACATTTAAGGATCTACAAAAGAACTTCTAAAATGTAATATGAGAAGTGTCATACTTAACTCAGAGCTAAGTATTATGTCAAAACCTATTATTGAAGTAACTCGAATTATTGATGAAATACGAAAAAGTCAGGAGTCAAAAAGTGGCTTACCTTTATCTGAGCTAAAAGAAATTAATTGTGTTGCTGCTTCTTATTGCAATGAAATTGTAGTTGTTGGTTCAGAACACAACATTATGTGAGTATTAGTTATTGTATTAAAATAGTACATTATAACTATTTTTTTTTTTTTTTATTAGTGTATTAAAGTGGCAAGATGATCAGTTTATTGTAACAAAAATTCTTAAAACAAATGTCCCAACAAAATGCATTTGTTTCATGCCTACAGGAATTATTTTTACTACAAATAGTTTTTATAAAATTGAGGCAAATAGTTTGAGTTGTAAAAGTGAGTAAATTAAAAATAATTAAATTCTTATTTATTTATAATTATTTGTCCTTAAGTTCATGAAAAATAAGTAAAAAAAAAAAATAGTTATAATTGTTAGTGTATATATGCACTCTGAAAAAAGAAGTTTAGAGAAAGTAGAAAAAAATTTTAATTACTTTATAAATAGCATTATTTTATGTTGTACTCCGTAAAAATTATTACTATTTATTATTTATAATTTCTTAAATTTTGTTTTGTCGAAAATTTATTATAGATAAAAATATTTAAATATATGAATCATTTTATTAATGGAAGCAGTAAAAAATGTTCTTGTATTTTAGGATTTTTCACAGATTCTATTGCTAAAGCACATGATTATAAACCTATGTTTGCTTGTGAGTTAACTAAAAATAAAGAATATCTTTTATGTTATAATATTTATGGTATATTTGTCAATACTGAAGGCGAAAGAATACGCAGTGGTGAAATGAAATGGCCATATAGCCCTAAAAACTTTGGTAATTTATTTATATATAATGATTTAATATTTATACTTGATTCATTAATTAATTATGTTTTAATCAGCATTTAAGAAACCTTATTTGGTAATCTTATCAGAATCTGAAATAACTATTATCAAGATTACTTCATCATGTTGTGTAGAAGAAGATACATGGAGTATTACTTCTACAAAACAGCCAAATGATCGTATTGTTTTGAATATAGACAATCCAAAACTTTTGGGTATTAAATATATTGTTAAAAGTATGTACATAAAGACTAACAATTATATTGATATTTTATTTAACAGAAGGAAATAATATCTATTTAAAAGATTTTTGTAAATACAAAGGAACAATTGATATATTTCAACTTGATCCATCTAAAATCCTAAAGAGTTCATTGGCTGAAAGTAACTCTACCTTAAATATGCAGGAAACCACGTAATTATATTACCACATATGTTAATAATAATTACTTCTTGTTTTGATATTGTATAGAAATTGTTTTTATAGCTGTGACAACTTATCAGAATTCAGTTTTACATCTTCTATGTTGGAAAATTTAGATGAAGAACAAGAGGATTTTCAAAAAAAAGTTTGCTTTGATCTAAATGTTCAGGTTAATAACAATTGATCATAACTTCTTAAACTTAATTTATTTATCTGTAAATATTTAGACTTAAAATTTTTTATTTTTTTATTCTACTTGTACATGGTACAAATTGTTGTATAAAATGTTAAGTGTGTTTTTGTTTTACTATTATACCATTTGATTTAAAGTTATGCCTTCACTTTGAGTAAGAATAATAAATATCAGTATTAAAAAAACTTGTCATGTTTTATTGAGATTCATTTTTATATTATTAAACATAAAGTGGATCTTTATATATCAATTGTACTTGGTGGTAGTGAAATGAATGAAAATTTAAATAGAGCTGAAACAAAATTTTGGGTAAGTTAAATTTAACTTCCTCCTTCCTAAAAATTATATTTTATAACATTAATTTTTCTAGAGAAGGCTTAGTATCTATTAAACTTCTATACCAATGAAACCTGTATAAATTGAAATTTGACAGTGGTTATAGGATATAAATATGCATAGAATTATTTTTTATCATGAACAACTTGGTTACTACATTAAAAAATTTTATCATTTTTAATTATAATGGTGGTTACACCACTAATTAGTATACTAAAATAACTCCAATGAGAACAAAAGAAAGTTTTTTTTAATTTTAATCCTTGACTTACATCACTAAATCATTTTTCTAAAAAAATAATAAGCAGATGAATCTTGACATGGCACCGTGATGTTTCCATTGTGAATCATAAGTGCACCGTGGCCTAGTCATAAAGTTTGTCTCTACGACGCCTTGGGTCGCGGGTTCTAATCCGGTACCGTGCCCCTTTTTCACACAATTTCTGGTACACTTCTATAACTAGCCACCAATCCCCAGTGGCCGTGTTAATTTTAACATTTTTATAATTTAATTAAGTTAAAGTTTTTAATTCTTTTGAATTGATAATAGGCATTTTCACTCAAAGAGTAATTTAAATGAATTATCATTTGTAAAAGTGTGTTTAATTCTAGATTATATTTTTTCTTTCGGTGTTCACTCTGACGGATCTTATTTTCATCATCTTTGAATGAAAATACGATAACACAAATTTTTAGAGTACTTTTAAGAAGTCATCAAAGTTAAAAAATATTAAAAACCAAATAAATGCATACATTTTTAGAAGTGCAAAATTATTAAGCAGCCATTATTAAATACAAAATATCAAAAAATGGCATCATTCAAAAACATTAAGAAATTATAAGATTAGACTTAAATATAGGAGTGTGCTTTGGTTTCTTTGCACCATAAAGATTGTCAATAACACCTCCAATAATTTTAAATTAATATATTTAAGGTTATATAAAAATATTTTTAAGGAGGAATAATTTAAATTCTTCAAATAATTTTACTATGAGTTCTTATGTAAATTATAGATATTAATGAATATAAAGAAACTATACTATGTAAAGTTAACATAACTATTAATCTGAAGTTGAAATGTATTATCATACTATTGGATTGGTATCAAATTCGGGAAAGAGCCAAACCTCTAACAAATAAAAAATTTTCTTTTTAAATAACTGGAATATATAATTATTACATATTTTAATTTTATGTTATTATTTTAGCTTATTTTATGGTAGAGATAAATTGTTTTATGTTGCAGAATAATCATTATGTATTGTTTTAATTCATAAATATGTTAAAAAGTAAATAACTCTAAACAAATTTTATAGCACAAATATTCGACAAACTTAAAGTGATAATTTGAGTAAATTTTAAACGTTTGCTTAAAAAAATAAATTACCATTATTAAATGTAATCAACAATTTTCAGCAAAATGTAAAATTTTTAATTCATTATATTTACTTTTTTAAACATTTTTTTCAATTATACTTTTTCTATAGCTTTATTTTGTTAGTTATACATTTTAAAATGCAAAAAAAAAAATGTATTAAATTTTATATGTTTAAAACTAACACAATTAGTCTTAAGGTACATAAAACAAGTAAAAAAAGTATCATAATATTTGCATTAGTTATCCCATCGATTTTTTTTTGCCTTGCGTTCTTTAAGGGGTCCAGTGTGAACTTTAACCGAAGCTGAAGGGTCAGATCCAACAGTTTGTTCCCATGTATGGTCTTCACTAGCTCTAAACTATAATAAAATAATTAATAAATTTATTTATTATAGCTTCGATGCGAAGCTGAGAAGGTATTAATTTTATTTTGATGTGTTTTTTTTCTTTGTTTATTTTTTTTTGTCTGTTACCACTTTTTCTTAGCTCTCACCAAACCTTTTTTATGTTCTTTTAACAATACGTCACAAGATCACAAATTGTATCTAGTCAAAGACATTACTCTCAAAAATTGATAAAATTTCCCTCGTTCCCAGTAAATGGGGGAAATCTCCAAAAAAATTACAAATTTAAAAATCGCTAATTTTTGACATTTTTTCATTTTTTTTTACTTACTTTTTTACTTTATCAAAAATGACCAAATCAATATAATTTTTTTTTATAAACCAGCCCACGGGGGGGATTCAAAATGACAACTTTTTCACAAAAAATAAAATTTTTCAACTTAACTTTTGAAAGTGTTCTAGAAATACTGACACTTTTATATATACCTTAAATTAAAGCTAATGTAATATAGTTTATTATGGAAAAAAAAGTTTCGGACTTGATTTTGTCAAGTCAAAATAGATATTAAAATTAATAAAAAAAATAAGATTTTTGTAAAAAAAATTTATTTTATATTTTTGATTTTATAATTCTATAACTTTTTGAAAAATGTATGGATCATTATAATTTTTTTAAGATAAGTACTATTTATATTCTTCTTTTATGCAACATACTTTTTTTTTTATCAGACCCTTTCCCTTTATATATTATAAATATATATATATATATATATATATTCATATATTACACTTATAAATTATAAAATTTCTAATTAGGATATAAATAAGGTAATCATGTAGCTTTTGAAATAATCCATCAATTTTTCAAAATTAAACATTACAGATTTGCATTGAAACGTTTTTAATGATAGTGATTTTAATCACTGTGAGATATCATCTATACTGGACTCTACTATGCCATGTCCCCACTGTGCTGGGTTTTTTGTAATGAGAACCCCTATTTTTACCTTGATAGTATGATAGGAAATAAATGTACAAACAATTTTGTTCTTGTATTTTCTTTTTAATCTTACTAAAATTACTTGATTTAACCTTATAAAATTAAAATATTTAGTAATGTTACTTTTTAAATTTCCTTATTCTAAAAATCCAGTAAATTTAACTAACCTGATTTTGATATTGCATTTTAAATGCTTCTTTTAGAGCCATAAGTCTACCTGCTCCAGGTCCAGCAGCTTTTTGAGTAGCAGCTGGTTTTGGGCATTGGTATGAACTAGAATTCTATAATAAATTGGAAATTTAATTTCAGACTTGAATATTCTAGTTAGTTTATAAAGAATATTTTGACTCACAGAGTATTTATTGGAACCAGATGGCTCTTGATATCCAAGTCCAGCACCACCTGCATTAACAGATTTACCTTTACCACCTTTAAAGCGACTTTTTCGAAACCAAGAGCTCTAAAATTTAAATCAAAATAATTGTTTATAAAATTTGATTATAATCATTTACTGTATAAGTTTTTACCTGCATAGCAAGATCCAGTAGTGGTGTGGGAACTTCCTGGCCAACACCTTCTAAACTTCTGACTAAATGGCCAGCAAATTCAAAATCTTTAGATGTTACAAGAGTAAAAGCTGTACCTTTTTCACCAGCACGACCTTAGATAAAATATTAATTATATTAGTTTTCATAATATTTTTTTTAATCTATTAAAATACCTGTCCTTCCAATACGATGAGTATGAGTGTCAATATCTCGTGCAATATCATAGTTTATAACAGTCTTAATATGAGCAATGTCTAGACCTCTTGCTAAAAATAAAAGAACATAATTTATTAGTAAATAATCAATTTAATTTTCATTAGTGTTACAAGTTTGTCCACTGTTCAAAAGTTTTACACAAAAAAATAATAAAATTTTTCTTAGGAGGCAATATGATGAAAAAAATGGTTATTTTGCAAAATAAACCTTTTTGGTAGGATAAGGTTTGTGAAATGTATTTTTATGAAAAAATATCAACTGAACTGATTAAACCTAGAGGTCTTTTTATTTGTATTTAATTTTTTTAAATATAAATAAACCATATTGAATCCAATATTTTCTTTTCTAGGAAAAATCTTAAAAACTTCAAATTTTATACATAATTTTTGAAACATCAAGTTAATATGCCTACTTACCAGCAACATCAGTTGCTACCAATATATTGACTTCTTGTTTTTTAAATTTTGTTATTACTTTGTTTCTTTCTGCTTGGTCCATGTCACCATGTAATAGTAGAACTTGATATTCTTTTACAGTCAAAGTATTTGCTAGTTGTTCAGCATCGAACTATAAATTAGAATTACCAATATTATCAGTAAAATTCTTTTAAAACAAATTAAAAATAATTTTTTTTTTACGTATATGCACTGTATAAAAAGTTAGAGAATAACTAAAGCATTGATGCATGTATTTGAAAAGTTTAATATTTTACTTTAAATAACTTAAAATTTTTGTTAGTATTACAATGTTTTTAAAATTAAAATCAACTAACTTTTTTAGTGACAAAAATGAGAATTGATCCAGCTGATTGAAATTGTACTATATTATTTAAAAGCCATTGACATTTATCATTTTGTGGCATTACTAACATAATTTGAGTAACATCAGTATTGGCTTCACCAATATCTCCTTGAATGATACGTATTGGATCAGTCAGTATGTCACGAGCAAGTTTTTCAATTTTTCTTTTGAAAGTAGCTGAAAACAATAATGTTTGTCTATCTGGTCTCACATGATCACATATAGACCGAACTTGAGGTTCTGAATAATTTATTTATTTTCTATTAGTAATTTCATAGAATTTTAATTAATTAAAAATAATTACCAAAGCCCATATTAAACATTCTATCAGCTTCATCCAAAACAAGGTATGTTACACGAGTTAAATTAGTTGCATTCATTTTGACTAAGTCAATAACTCTGCCTGGAGTACCAACAATTATTTCGGTACCATCTTCAAGAGCTTTGGATTGTTCCCATTTAGAACCACCACCATAACAACAAACTACTCTTAAATTATATATTTTTCCAAATTTTTTTACTTCAGTATAAATCTAAAAAGTAAATTAAAAATATTTAAAATAAAATAACATAAATAAATAACTTAAATGATAAAAAGAATTATAAGAGTAAGCCATTTTTATTTTCATATATAACTAAGTATTAAAAATACTATAATTGAAAAATTATTACTGTAGATTTATGTTGTAAATTAAAATTCTTACTACAATATAATAAAAAATATTTTTTAATTAATTATATCACTTGAAAAATCATAATTTTTTTTTAGTTAATGTAAGTTATTTAATACTTGTTGTGATAATTCTCTAGTGGGAGCTAATATTAGTCCAATAGGTCCATCACCTTCCTTCAATTCAGGCTGATCCATAATATGTATTAACATAGGCCAAATAAATGCTAATGTTTTACCACTACCAGTTTTAGCAATTCCTATAATCAAATAAAAATATGTGTGATAAAAATTGATAATGCATTTGAAAATTTAATTTTTTTACCAATAATATCTCTTCCAGATAATGCAGCTGGTATGGCCTGAGCTTGAATAGGAGTTGGTTGTGTAAACTCTGATTTACGAATAGCTTTCATTAAAGTTTCATCAAAGTTAAAATGAGCAAAAGATGAAACAGGATAAGGTAAATCAGCTCCATTTACTCGTAATCCAAGTGTTTTACGAAGATTTACTACTTTATCAACACTTAATGCTGATATTTCACTATGAGGAACATAAAAATTTTTTTCAAAACTTTTATATTCTAGTAATGAATGATCAATAGGAGGCAGAGGATCGATTTCCTAAATTAACAATGAATTTGTAATTTATACCGATAAAGTTTAAATTATTATATTTTATAATATTTTAAATTCTATTAACAAACTTTTTTCTTGGGAGGTGCTATTGGATTACCATCTTCATCATAATCTATTTCAATGTCTGATGTATCATCGACTAGTCCTGCAGTTGGATTTTCCTCCATATATCTAAAAATATTACAAACATTTAATAAAAGAAGTTAGTAAAATGTAACTTTAAAAATTAGTTTAACACAGTCATATGAAATATACCGGTAATAAGATTCTTCTACATCTTCATCTTCAATATCTTGTCTTATTCCTTTTTCTTCTTCTGTCCCCTTCTTTTTAGTAGAATTTTTTTCTTTTTTTACCTTTAATGTAATGTTTCGTTAGTTATTAAATAGCTAAATAAATGTATTCTACAATACTTCTTTTTCTAAATCTTCCATAAATGCATCTAGAGGGTCTTCAGATGAGTCAGAATCAGTAAAAGACTTTTTATTTGTTGGACTATCAGGTGCTGGGATGTAATCAAGTTGTGAATGTTGGTGCTCATCTTCTTCTTCAAAATATCTAAAAAATATTTATTGAGTTCAATACTTTAGCAATGTATATAACATTAAAAACAATTACTCTTCTTCGGTTTTTGCTCGTTTCTTAGGGACTCCCCAAGTTGATGAAATTGCTGAATGATTTATAGCATTAAGAGTAGAATATCCTTGTTTACTTATACCACTATTAGGCGGAGGAGGTATAGCTGATGATCTTGAAGATGATGATCGGCTAGAATTAAACGCAAATGATACCTTATCATTCATTCTGTTGTTCTGCATTATAAAAAGTCATCTATAGTTGTATAATTATATGTTTATAAGATCATGAAGATATATTTATTCAATAATATTAATTTTAATATATTAATATTCAAATTATCAGTAATATTATCATCCGGTAGTTTTGTTTATTTTGCTTAGATTTTTATCTCGCTTACGAAGATAACAATAACATTATCATTAAATATTGTTTAAATTGATATAATATATATATAATATATAATATATAATATATAATAAAATAATATTTTGTTACACAATTACCTTTGAGATTAAAATTATTCTACATCAATGTTAGTATCTAAATATAAATATTTTATATAACACATAAATATTATTTACTAAAAGTTAAATAATTTTGAAATCGTTTTACAATTTTATAATTAACAGTGATTAAAAAGCTAGAAATACAGTTAATATCATTATTATAATTTAAATGAAATATAAAGTATATATATACCGTTGAACAATTTTCGTTACTTATATTAAATAGCTAATTCATTATTAGATGAACGAAAAATTGATATTTTTCTTTTTATAATTATTTTTACACCGCCTATTTTTTTTCTAAAAATACATAATTCAAATTTTTTTAGTTAAAGTAAAGCATTTCATTTTTAATCTTTTTTTTTATCTATTTAATTAAATTAATATATTATAATTACTTTATTGATTTTAGATTAATTAACAATGTCTGAAATGGAAGAAAAGTGTTCATTAGAATCAAAAACAAATATTCGTTTTCAAGCATTTTCTTCTTGTCTCGATCCTACTTTTTGGTATAAAATGGCTCAGCTAAAACTGGAAGTAGATAAGCTTGATGAAATATATAGACCAATTTTAGGGTTTTATTCTTCCAAAAGTAGTCCATATGTGTCACTTGACTGTTCTTCTTTTAATTTGTAAGTAACTAGTTAGATTTAAGCTCATATAAATTATCAATTTTAAAATTATAGTGCCTACTTTTACAAATATTTCTATTGTACCAATTATTGAATTTTAGGGTTATACCATAGATTTTTTAAAGTTTACAAATTGTATGTTAACTAAAAATTTAATACAATTGTAATTGGATATTGAAAATTCTTCAGTTGGTCTACCTTAGTGTTGGCACTGAATATCCTTATATACTGTCCTAGTGGTTTATAGTAATTTTGAAAAAAAATTGTTTTTTAGTTGTTAATTGAATTTATTTAGTATTAAATAGTTCTAAAAGTTAGAGATACATTACAAATTAGTAATTTTTATAAACTATGAATTTTGCATTTCACAGAGATATTAACAATACATCCACAAACTTCATTGCTCGTGGTTATTGTTTGAATAAAAATACATTGGACTCATTTAAGAATTGCGATAAAAATGAATTATTGAAGGATTTTGGGAATCGATTATTAGATGATTTTCTTTCTGGCAATGCAATTGAAGATCCTACACTAATACCAACTTTTAACATACTTACACATTCTGTAAGAAAGTATATTTTAGTATAACCCTTAATTCAAGTTACTATTTAGATAAAAAGTAATTCATTTATATGAACTTAATTTTATATTTTTCTAACAGGATTTAAAGTGCTATCATTTTTATTATTGGTTTGCATTTCCAACATTTATTGAACCAATGTATTACTTAGATAATAATCCTGTATCTCTTAACTCCATTTTTTCACTGAATCAGGTAATACCAGACTTTATATAATTAAGAATTTTTTTAATAATTATAATTACGGTTTAAGGGACATAAAAAAATATTTTACTAATCTAAATTTCTAAATTTTTTATAAATAAACGGAGTAAATTTAGTATAACTCATGCAATACCATCAAAAATACAAAAGAAAAATAACAAAAAACCCAGCACAGGGGGGTCGCGGCACAGTGGTGACGTGGTATAGATGGATCAAGTATAATGATATCTGACAGTGATTAAAATCACTATAAAAAAAAAACGCTTCGATGCAAATCTTTAGATAGTGCTTAATTTTAAAAAATTGGTGGATTATTCCAAAAGCTACATGATCTGCTAGTTCATTATTAATATCCTAATTAAGATAAAGTATGTCGAATGAAAAAGGGATTATTAAAAAATATTATTTCTCATAAAAAAATAATGTTGATCCATACACTTTTCAATATGTCATAGCATTATAAAGTTAAAAATGTAAAACATAAAATCGAGAATTTTCACACAATAATAGCATTCGGTAGCCATTTTCACCGTGAAGATAAAATAAAGTCCGAAATTTTTTTTTCGCATAATAAAGTAAATTACATTAGCTTTAATTTAAGATATATATAAAAGTGTCAGACTTTCCGGAACACTTTCAAAATTTAAGTTGAAAAAGTTCTACTTTCTACATGATTTTTTAGATTTGAACCCCCCTCGTATATAGGGAAATGGTCCGATTTAAAAAAACAGTATGTCAAATGAAAGATGTATATGAATACTACTCCTCATGAAAAAATTGTACTTATCCATACATTTTTCAAATAGTTATAGCATAATAAAATTAAAAATGTAAAATACAAAATCGAAAATTTTCACACAAAAATAGCATTTGGTAGCCATTTACACCGTGAAGATAAAATAAAGTCCGAATTTTTTTTTTTTCATGATAAAGTATATTACATTAGCTTTAATTTAAGATATATATAAAAGTGTCAGACCTTCCGGAACATTTTCAAAAATCAAGTTGAAAAAATTAATTTTTTGTGAAAAAGTTGTCATTTTAAATCCCCCCCTGTGAACAAGTAAAGGGTCGCATATAAAAAAAAAATATACCAAATGAAAGGTAATGATATCATGCATCTATATAAAAAATAATTATATTGATATGTTTATTTTTAAAAAAGTTACGGCAGTTTTTAGTAAAAAAAATTGAAAAATTTTTGAAAATTAGCGATTTTTAAATTTGTAATTTTTTTGGAGGTTTCCCCCATTTACGGGGAACGAGGGTAATTTTTTGAATTTTTGAGGGTAATATGTTTGACTAGATACGATTTGTGATTTTTTGACGTATCATTGAAAGAAATCGGTTTGGTGAGAGCTGAGAAAAAATGGTAACAGACACAAAAAAAAGAAAAACTCATCTTAGTAAAACCAATACCTTCTCAGCTTCGCATCGAAGCTAAAATACAAATAAAAAGTAGAGTTTTTTCAATTTAACTTTTGAAAATATTCCAGTTATACTCCGAAATATATGTCAAATTAAAGCTTATAATAAATACTATAATTTCAAAAAAAAAAAAATTTGTCCCGACTCCTTTTCTTCTATGAGAAAATGGCCATTGAATTTAACGATAAATGTAATTTTTATGTATAAATCACTGTTTTACATGAAATATTTTAATACTTAAAACTTTTTGAAAATTAACGATTTAAAATAATTTTTTTTGATATTGTAACCTTAGAAATTTTTTTTTTATATTTTGAAGATATTGTGTCGGTCAATCACTCTGTATTTATTTTTATGATGAAATTAAAAATATTTTAATTATAAGGTGATTTTTTTAATACTAGCCACTCAGATTCTCTTAAAAAAATTAATATGTGAAAATTATTTTTGGTATTTTTAGTTTTATACATTTTTTTATTTTAGTTAAAAATTGCTTTTTAAATCATCCCTTATTCACCCTTAGAGGGTATCAACTTTATTTGTTTCTATGGCAACATACATATTTAAGTAGCTTATAAAATAGAAAATGATTTAATTAAGAAAATAACTGGTTAATAATAATTTTTGAACCAGAATTTTAGAATTTATTAACTAAGAGTAATAACTGAAAATGAAGTGTTCTATGAGGCTTCTATTTTTACTACTAATCATTACTCCACTTCATTCCTTTCCCCTTCTAGGTATAAAAATGTTAATAACTTCTGAAATATTGATACACAACTTATTATCAACCAGTTATTTTCTTAATTAAATCATTTTCAATTTTATAAGCTATTGAAATATGCATGTTGTCATTTAAACAAATAAAGTTGATACTCTCATAAAGTATAAGGACGAAATAGAAAAGTAATTAATAACTCATTAATCAAGAAATATTTGAAATTAAAAAATATAAAAAATAATTTTCTTAACAAATTATTACTTTAAGAGGATTTAAATGGCTTTCGTTAAACTAATCGCTCTGTATAATCCATGGTTGTTACACAATAACAAATAAATGAGTTATAACACTGTCATTTTAAGTATAAGTTCTCATTATTTTTGTAATATTATTAAGTTGAGTAATTTTATAATAGAAACTAGTGATAAAATATATTATTTTGTAGATTGTATCCTTAGTTAAGGAATTTCAAGATCTTCCAATTAATCAAAGAGGATTTTTTAGTATTATACGTAAGGCAGATGATAGTATAAATTTATTCACATTAAAACAATACATAAATCTACATAACAACAATAAGATTGATGATTTAAGAGATGGTAATGGTGCTGTTGATGAATTTCTGGTATTTGCAGATCCATCCGAATTAGAAAATAATCCTGGATGGCCTTTGAGAAATTTTTTATATCTTATCTTGATACATTGGTTAGTTATAATATAGTACAGCAATTTAAGTTTTTATTTATAATAAACTCGAATGTTTCAGTCCTAATATAGCTAATTCAAATATAAAAGTTATTGCTATGCGTGGAACAGTTAACAGTCAATTCAACAAAAGTATGATATTTAATATTAGAGTGCAATGTATGTATATTTACTATTATTATTATTATCATTAAAACATATTTTTGTTATTTGAATATTTTTAATTTTCAGCCAACTTTAATGCTATAATAAATGATAATTGTAAATTTGTTGGTTGGGAAAAGAATTCAAGTGGAAAATTTTGCCCAAAATATGTTAATTTAAGTAAAACTATGGATCCAAAAAAGTAATTATAAGAATAATAAATTACTTTTATATTCAAATTTAACATTTTAAAATAAATATTATTTTCATTAGACATGCAAAAGAATCTGTAAATTTAAATCTTAAACTAATGAAATGGCGTTTAGCTCCTGATTTGAACTTAGATATTGTTGCTAAATCAAAATGTCTTATTATTGGTGCTGGTACATTAGGTTGCAATGTTGCTCGAAATTTATTAGTATGTAAAATTAAATTTCTTATACTAAAGTATTTATTGAAACGAATGATTTATTTAATTTTCATGATAATTTTTTTAATGACTATGATTATTTTTAGTCATGGGGTGTACACAATGTTACTCTTATCGACAATGGTAAAGTTTCATACTCTAATCCAGTTCGCCAATCTTTGTATAAACACTCTCATTGTATCTCATCTACTTATAAGGCTTTAGCTGCTGCAGAAGTATTAAAAGAAATTCATCCAGAAATAGTAATTAAAATGTTTATATTTAACAAGTGATAATTATTATAGAAATTCATCTTAATTAATAAAATCAATTAAGTGAGATAAATTTTAGTACACTTTTTTAATGTGAAGTTTTAATGTTTGTATAATTATTTAGAATAGTAATGGTGTCGTTATGAATATTCCAATGCCAGGTCATGGAAATGCTAGCGAAGATCTTCTGAATATTAATAAGCTTTCAAAACTCATAGAAGAACATGATGTTATATTTTTACTCACTGATTCAAGAGAAAGTAGGTGGTTACCAACTATGCTATCTACATTGCACAATAAAGTAATTTTTAATGTATAAAATGAAGTCTCAAAAATAAGTTAATTTTTTTTTTTATTTAGCTAGCTGTAACTGCTGCTCTTGGTTTTGATTCATATCTAGTAATCAGACATGGAACTAGAACAAAATCATTTTCTTCGGAGACAAAATTGGGCTGTTATTTTTGCAATGATGTTACTGCACCAGGAAATGTAATTTTTTTTAAATTATGGAATAGAATGGTCTTATGTTGGTTTAGTTTATATCTAGACTCTGCTGATTAAAAAAATAAAATTTATTCCTAAATGTTTTTGAAAAAGACGTTTTTAGAAAAATATTAATATAAAATAAAACAAATTTTATTTTACTAATAGACATATTATTCAAATTTGTTAGAAATTTATCATGTATTGTTATAATGAAATTATAAAAACTTATTTAGTCTATGACAGATAAGACATTGGATCAACAATGTACAGTGACTAGACCTGGTGTATCTTCTATTGCTGGAGCTTTAGCTGTTGAATTGTTTGTTTCTTATGCTCAACTGAAGTTAGTATTTTTGGTTACTGGATATTTAGTATTAAGTAAATTTATTCTTATAAAAAAAAATATATATTTAAATGAATTAAAATTTATTAACAGTGATGACATTTCTGCAAATTCTTTGAGCTGCATAGGTGTTGTACCACATTCTATCAGAGGTTTTTTGTCAGATTATCAGCAGATTATACCATTTACACCAAGTTTTGATAAATGTATTGCATGTTCTTCTACAGTAAGTATTATAAATAGTTTTTTTTTCTTAAAATAACTCACAAAAATGTTCTCTGACTTTAGGTTATTAATGATTTTATAAACAGAAAAGAGGATTTTTTAAAAAATGTATTTGTAAATTCAAATTACTTAGAAGATTTAACGGGTTTAACTGAACTAAAAAATCAGTTTGAAAAAATAGAGGTACTGTCTATATTTAAATATTTACTACTGAAATACTTAATTTTTTTATTCTCAGATTTTTGAATTTGATAACAATGATGATGTGTGTGATTCTGGAAATTGTACTGAACCAATAAATATTGTTTAATTGAGTATTGATATGAATGATGCCCAAGAATAATTGCTAAAATATATATATGTAATTATATTGTTTGATTATTATGATTTGAAAATTAATTGTCAATAAGTTGAATTTCTTTTTTATGTTTGTTGATAATAAGTTATTAAACAAAACATGATGAATTATTAATTTGATTGAAATTTTAAACTATATTTAGTTTTATTAGTAAATTCTCAAATTTTCAGTATTATAATAATTTAATAATATTTTGTATTAATAAAAAAGTTAACAAAATGTTTAACCTTATTCAAAATGAATGCATATAAGTATTTTTTAAAATAAATAAAGTGATTATATATTTATCCAATATCTTGATGCAGTTTTGAGCTCTAGATAAATTAATTTATTTAATTTATCATTGTCACCAGTGTTATAGATATTCATTGAAGAAAAAATAATTTAAGCAATTGGTTATTAATTGTATATTAACGCAAAACAATAAAACTCGGACAAAATTTTTAATTTAACAACAAACTATGATATTTATTTATATTATACAAGTATAAAAGGTATTTTTTAAAGAAATATATATGAAATCATATTCATATATAATTAGAAAAACTAAATCATACAGTAACCCCTGACCCATACACATTTTTGTTCTCGTTTTCTAACAGAAGTACATTATAAGGTATTATAGAAGTGTTGTAAAAAAAAGTATCTATTCACAAATATCAAATATATTATTCTTAGAACAAATATCTTACTAATTTAATATTTTAAAGCTTAACTAATATTATTACTATATTTTATTCATACATAAAACAATTAAGAAATATGTCAATGTAACTATCTAAATGTCTACAAATAAACATTTGAAAAAATCAACACTTAACTACTAATAAAAAGTTAAGTATTTAACCAAAAATAATTAAATAATAATGGTACTAATAATAACTAAATAATATTTAAAATAAACATACCAATAACTACATAGTATATAAATTACACATTTTATATATTATTCATGAGAAAATGGGATGGGTCTTCACACGTAATATGGAAGTGTATTATACATACGACTTAATTGACATAATATTTTGGAAGCCTTAAAACAAATAAATCAAAACCCGCAACACTAAAAAATGTATTAAATCTTTATTGCATACAGGTAATTGGTAATGATATTACACGCCATTTAACAATAATATAGTTAGAGCAAATAAACAAAATTAGCTATGGAAAATTCTTAGGTTCTTAAAAAGTTCCTATGGAAAGAAATAAAAGATAAACAAGTGCTCGAGAAATAAAACAAAGCAAAGTGTAAATATAAAAGTATAACACATTATTGATGTTAGCTCTTATACTTATAGTTTTACTAATGTAAATATTTGTACATTTATTACTTAATATGTTCACGCCTATGTATAACCACGACTATATTAATATAATATAAGCCAGATGTTAGGTAAAACAATCATTGTTTTTAACAAAAAACATAAATAGGACAATTTAAAATAATAATAAAATATAATAATAATAATAATAATTTAATAACTTTAGACCTATTTTGTATTTTTGTTTATATACAGAACAACAAAACCATACGGACGTATGTGTAAAAAAAATCCTTCTTATTGTAAAATCATTCGTTAATTACTTGACAGTTAAACGATAAAACCAAAACGGCAACAAAGTTATATATTTATTGATAAGTTTATCAATGTATGGGTAACAAAACACGAGAGGACAAAAATGACTTCGTATGCGAGATATTGAGATCAGTTGCGTTATAACATACACATTTTTAAATAAAATACAATCATGTTATCGCGAATTATCCAAATAAAACAGAACTACAGTGAAATAAGTATGTATTCTCCTTATTCTATTCACGGCTAAAAGTGTACTTCGACATGACTTGCTTAAGGTAACTACATAAGATTTTCGTTAGAATATATTATATGTTTTACATCGATGGAAATATACATATAACGAACTGTTTTAATAACTAGATTAAATTTTATAAATATATATTCAGAACGACACGAGTTTGAGTAAATTCTAATCTAAATCAAGAAAAATAACATAATAGATACCTGATCGAAACTTTACAATAATAATATTAATAATAATATATAATCCGCGTAAATGTGGTTATGAGTAACGCAATAATTTGTTTAGATCTCGTTGGTGAATTTTGATAATCTATCCCGAAGCGCCAAATTTTCTTTTTTCAAACGTTCCATTTCTTGTCGAAGACCCATATTCTAAATAAAACAAATATTCATCAATTAAAAATCACAATAAAAAATGAATGGTCGTTACAGATCTATAAATTAAATCCAATAGTTATATATATATATATATATAAATGGTGTTCATTGAGTGTGAGTAATACAATAGATTAATTATATTTAATTAATTAAACGCGCAAGGCGGCCTACGGATTATTATGATCGATACTTGTTTGACAACGTTTCAGAAATTATAGGTCAAAGGAAAATTAATACGATAAGTAGAACTTTCTAAGGTATAATATTACACAGTAAATCAAGACAGTAATAAAAACATATTTTTGTTGGATTAGTGTGACTAAATCCTAAAGATTATTAACCGATTATTGAGGTCGGGAAATATTCGCGTGAGTAATTTGAGTGTCTAAGGATTAAAAAAATGACTAGTGCAGAAAAAAGACTCAATCACAGAAATGCGAAATTCATAAGTGTAAAAACGCCGATTTTGTTTTCATGTGCTCCCAAAATGATTTTTGTTAGAATAAAGAAATAACCGATTCTCCTACTGATATTGTTTATTTAATGGTAGATTGGATACAAACCAACTTCAATCTGAAGATAGATTTGGTATCAACTAAGGAAATTTAAAAATGCCCACCCCTTAATTAGAATTTAATAATAACTGTGAATGCTTAACAGCATAGAGTATGTTAGCAACCCGTTTGTTCATGCTGAGTCCATAGTTTTGACATAATTAGCATATTTGAATCGGATTTAATGCAGAAAATATGGCCAATTTAAATAGAATATTTGCATCAATTATTAGATAAATAATGATTTTATAATTAAATTTGTTGAAAAATTTTAGTACGTTACATCGACAAAATAATATTCTATTTCGAAATGAGTTAGTGTGAAAAGTGTGTAAATAATTTTTTCCCTTCTCTCTATCTTTCTCTCTCACTATTCTACATAAAGACATTATAGAATCGAGTTGAGTATCATCAATTATATAAATGACTTGAAATAATTAATTTTATAGCACATTCGTCCTCTGTACCCCTCGTTGTCTATTTTATTTACTGAACGCGCTATCAAGGGTAAGTACCTCTTTTTCTAAAAATCCCGCCCTCAAAGCGATCTGGTTCTCTTTCATTCGCCTCGCGTCTCTCGACCGTTTAGCCGCCATGTTGTTTTTTCGGCGTCTCGCCCAGTATTTTTCATCTTTAAGCCCATCCGGCACAAACTATAAATGAAAACACGATTAGGGTGAGTTTTAGTGTCGCTAAAGTAGCGACAATAAAAAAAACGAAATAAAAAATCAAGTTAACGAGGCCCTCTCACCTGTTTCCTTGATTTCTTTACCATTGGCTGAGGTTTGAGCTCCTCGTCGGAAAACGGCCGTGTTCTTGGGTCGAAATCTCTGCTGGATGACGCAAATGACAATGCTGAAACAAAAAAAAAAACAATCGGTTGCAGTTTCATGTGAGTGGCATATGATTTATTATGAATAATTAAAATACTCACTGGAATCTGCGGGCGACGGCGGGTTGATGGTGATCGGACTCAGTGGTTCGCTCGGCGATGGTGATGGTTCGCGCTTGGTGAGTATAGTTGCCACCCCGCCAGCGCCATTGGCTTGTAGGTGTTGTATGGGGTGTAGCGAGGCCGGGGGCGGCGGTGACAGGCGTCCGTTGACGCCCGGCATGAGTGAGCCTGCGCTGGCGGCTGTCACTATGGAGCCCTGGTTAACGTTTGCTCCGTTGCCACCCGACGTGCCGTTGTGTTGATCGCCCTCAACCGGCAAACCGTTTTCTGACAGAAATTCGTCCAAATCGCAATACTGTTGATAAATATCAAAAGTCGTTAATCAAGACCTTAAAAAAATGTAATCTATTGTAATAGGAATGTTTACTTTGAGGTCATTATCATAAGGTATGGTTTTATTGTCCCAAAGATTCGGTCCAAGGAACGCTGATTGAGATTCTACAACATTGCTCCATAAAAGTTCAGTTTCTTCTTTTTTATCAATGTTTCCTCCGTCTCTTGGTACTCCACAAGCTTTTCCTGTCATCAATAAATAAAAATTTAATATAAAATGTATATTGTTCACAGAAAAAAGGTATGCAAGTATTATGAAAAACGTTTAATTAGAGGGAAAGGGCATCTAATTTATTACATGTACGGAGAACCTGTGAAAAATTATAAGTTGTTAAAGAGCGTATTAATAAAGTTTTGTAGAATTTAAATATTGAATACTGCTTTGGTAACTTAAATAATTGATAAGAACCAATAGTTCGTTGATTATCAGAGATAGTCTGATTTCGAACTGAAGTTTTAGAATCAAAGGAAAAGAACACCACACTAATGAGAAATTAACTAATATATATAATTTTATAACACTTATTATTATTTCTACAGATGAAAAATAATTGCGATGCACAATGAAAATATTATGATAATACTTAAACAGTTAAGTCGACCTTGAGTGTCAAGGCGAGAAGGCCTCGTTGGAAATAATATCCGGGAAAATTCAGCATGGAAACGCGCGTGCAAAAATCGCCAAATTATTCAATATCGCGGCCTTTATTGGATCGTTCACGCTTAATGAGCCTGCAAACGAGATTTCATTAGTTAATTGGCTCGATAATGATGTACGCGAGGCGTGAGATACGAAATGAAAACCTGATGATACCTTAAGTTTTGCTAACGGGTTTTTGATTTATTTGCTAGCCAATTTTTCATCACGTGGTTAACATTTCAATATTTTTCTGGTTTTATGTAATTTTTGAGTTTTTGAAAAAACACGTTTCCAATAAGTTTGAATCAAAAGCAGTACTACTCGTTCGTTTTGCGTTCACATGATTTCCTAGTTTCGCTTAAATTTTAGGTTTCTTATACACTACGATTATGTTCCCCTGATAAGGACATTTGAGCTTCCGCTTTTTCACAGTAACGACGGATTTTAGATTTCCACACAATCCGCCATAAACGGATTTTTCATTACAAAAAAACTTGTTCCTCAACATTTTATCGTTGCCATACTCTCTAATTAACCATAATAGAAACATTTCAAGGACAACGGGACATCAAAGTGGATAGGTAGAAATGTGTATACCAAACAAAACTTCTTGGAATTATATAAGCTTATTAAGTAGTAAATAAAATTTAAGCCACTTCAGTACTCTAGTTGTCGTGATAATATGTTATGGAATTAAGTACCATAATTGAATTCTCACACTTACATCGTTTACAATCAGTTCTAAAAGCTGTAGTTCTATACTCATTTCCTCACAAGTTAAGTTAGTAGCGTAAAAATTAATCAACGCACTATTATTATATGTATGAACACTATAAAAAATACAATTGATGATATATTTAATAGAGCTGAAATCATTAGTTTTATCCGCCTGCGCAACGCAGTTTGCTAAAACACGGACAACAGCTTGGAATCTCAATTTTAATTGGTTTTTTGTAATCGGATATTTTTTACAGAAAATCTTAGTCCTTGACAAACGAAAGAAGTTTACTGGAAAACCACAAATGTCCAACAAAACGCTTTGCATTGATTGCGGTACTGACACTTGACAATGAGACGAGGTCTAGCAAAACAAATCGACATTAACCGTCAAAAAAAAAAAATATATATATATATAAAGAGATAATAATAATAATAATAATATAATAAAGCTCAGGGGCGGCTGATGGAAGCGTCGATTTGAATAATTGGTCGAAACGACGTTTCATACAATTTAAACGAACATAATAACGATGGACAGAGTTTGTTTAAGTGATACGAACCGAATCTCAAACCGAATTAACGAGGTGGTTGAGGTATCAAGTTACTCGAACAATGTCGTGCTTAATTTGACGTTTTTGTTGCTGCCAACAAAAAACATTTTCGCCGGCAGAGCTCAACTCCTCGCAATGCTATTAATTGGCAAGAAATCATTTCACCGTGCGAACGTGGAATGGACAGGCAAACCTACATTCTCCGGTCTGATAATGACGATTGTGTGGAACCGCATTCGCGTGTACAGTAATAAATGGAAGCTAGTGGTTTCGTAATACAGGAAGTAGGAACCGAATAACGGATTTGACACGTTCTTGCTTCCACCGCTATTCGTTTTCACTTTCTTAACGGCAAATGTTCATACCGATTGGCAATTTCTTTCACTGCCGCCGTTCGCTTCCACCTCATTCTTTTACTCTTTTTAGCCGTCCACATTTTCGTTTACTTCATCCTGCCGGTCTGTACTAGTCGACCAAAAGCGAATTGTACACAGATTTCCAAAACGGACGATTGAGTTCAAAAGACATCAGCTGACGTGTGACGGATCGCAAATGAGTATCTTACACTTCCTAGTGTAACTATCAGAGGAAATTCGCATCTCCATTTCCGGAAACGAACAATGATAAGAGTTAGACACGCACCTTAAGATAAATATCTCATTGTCTTAGGGTGATAAACACGTTTTCCTAATAGTCTCTGTACACGAATAATTAACAGTTAATATGATAAAGTCAGTAATACGGAAAGTCGAACAAAACATGTGGTCAAAGCGACCAAAAGTGTTTATTGTCAGTAATACAATTATTAAAAAATAATCATTGTTATTCGGTTGTTTACAATTGTTTTTGTACATAAGTAGCTATTTTAATAAACTTCAACAACAAAAAAAATAAAATGGAGACTGCATCAACAATTAATTTTTAATTAAAATAATTATTATTCTAATTTAACATACTACTTAATTCTATTTGTTAAACCTGTTGGATAATACTTTGTTATCGTAGTCAAATATATGGCCACATGTTTTTAAATTGCAAATTACTCTGTTTGGTTTGATTTTAATGAATATCACATTCAGTAAAATATCACAATCCGATCTGGTGGACTTGTGAAAAACATGAGTACCGTTAGAGGAGAATTAATGATACTATCATGTTTTTTATTTCTAGATTTTGCAACTAGTTTTCGAAGCACCACTTTCTAACTCCCATAACGTTAGAATGTATGCATAAGAATTATAATATTCATAATGAATATACGACCGGCAAACACGCGGTATTTGTTTTCTCAGCAAAATAACGTGGGTGAAATACGAAATTGTACACCAAAACTACAAATTAGTTATTCAGATTGATATTATAATACAATACACGGTAAATCATTTAATAGCGCACACTTTTATGCGAGAGAAACCTTTCAGTTTCAATTTGAAATCGCGATAATTTTTTAGGACGACGTTTAGCACATTAGCAAGCACATTAGGCCGTTGAAAAAAAAAAATAATTAAACAAAGTTATTAAAGCCATTGATTAACAATATGATATTCCATTATATGGATTTATTATTATTGGGTTTTAAATGAAACATTCGTTATACGTGTGTCATGTCTGTGGCGCACAAAGTGAAAGTCAGTCTCTGACTGCCGACAGAGTCCGGATATAGTGATGCCAATGATAATAGTAATAATAGTAATAATGATTGCGCAATGAAGATCCAATCGTAGAATTTGAGTAGTGGAAAAGAAAATTCGGTACTCTCGACAGTTATGCTCCGTCGCTATTATACGGCTATTTTTTATTCTGCCAATTCAAATATAATAGTAGCGTAATATAAATTAAAAAACGGCTGACTTTATCATTTGAATTTTTTGTGCTCTTATAATTTGCCATTTAAGTAACAGAGTATAGGATCAAAAAACCGCCGGGAATTGATTCTTTTAGTGTTAAAACGCGTTTTGACATATTCAGCACCAAGAGAGATGCTGTTTATCAAAATATAACGATCGACGGTGGATTAATAATAATAATAATTAATTCAGCGCGGGGAATACAATTTGTAATTAAAATTTTGATTGATATTATCTGGTAGTGGTGAATAATCGAAAACGTCTCGAGGCGTGTATAATCAGTGTAATAACATTATGTTTGTGCGACCGCGGACGAAAGCAATGGTATTTTTGAGTAAAAAACACCGTAGAAAAAGAAAGTTTGTTTCCGACGTGTTTTTTGTAACGATACTCGTCCTTGGAACGAGATCTCGTTAAACGCGTCCAATATATTATGTATGTGCTCTCTGTGGCTATTTTCTATGTAACCGGTCAGTGAGCGAGTAACAATCTTCCAACAATATTTACTGCATCATAATACTAACAACACACTGTGTAATGATTATCCAAAAGATGCATTTGTAGTAATAGACATCATAATATTATTAATTTTACGGTGTCAAATTATTCCTGAAAATGTGTTCAAGCCTTCAGTTTACTTATTTTATTTTTGAAAATAAACTAATAATATTGATACTTTAGTTTCCTCGAGTTAATATTTTGTAAGCTAATACTTGACTGATATTGAACTTGGAAGTGACTTTTTCGACATTACATTTAACGTCATTTAAACGACTTAGGGGAATGGTTAGATGATTAAGATTGGAGTGTCAAGTGTAAACAATAATTGAGGATTAACACCAATTGAGATAAGAGAAACATGCAATACGCGTAAATTATTACTTGAATATATTGACAAATTATGAGTAACAATAATTAATGACTGAATTGGTTAAAACGAAACGAAAAGAAACCCACAAAAAAGAAAAATATTAGACGACGGCGTTCTATTAAAAACATTAGAGAAATTCTTGTGTAAGCGGCAGTGTAACGGTTCTTGTTTTTTAACAATTCATTAGCAAAAACTCAAGTTAATTCTATGCCCACAAGACACAAGTATAACAACATTGTGTACCGGAACTTGTGATTCGTTCGTATAGTTGGCCATTTGTCTGGAACAACGCGAAACTTGTTTTTTCGGTTTTCTATTCGGCGAGTAACGGTAAAACGATAAATCCAGTACAAGAAAGCACTTTAATATGCAAAAAAACATTTAAAAAAACGCACAAGGCGGCGCCACCGACTCCGGAAGGACACCGGTTGCGTCGGCGTCGGGTATTTTCCGGCGAAAGTGGTTCCCATCTCACTTTCACCCGAATCCCCTTCTCCGTTGCTCCCGTGTAGAATCCTACGCAGCTCGTGTCTCGCCATAGAAATATTTGTGCTTGT